TCCAGCCTGGCCAACAGAGGGAGACTCCATCTCAAAAAAAAGACAACTCATATACCTCATAAATATATATACTACTATGTACCCACAAAATTAAAAACATGAATGACACATTATAGTTCACTTAAGCAAAATAAATACAAGGAAAATATAATATAGCCTAGCTAAGAGGTTCTTATCCTAAGGTCCATAAATGGGCTTCAAAAAGTATGAAAATGCCCTGGAATCAAAAGAACATTTTTAAAATTTTTCTTTTATTTATGTATTTACACTTTTGTGAGATAGTTTCGCTCTTGTGAGTTCTCCTGCCTCAGCCTCCTAAGAGGCTGGGATTACAGGTGCTGCCACCATGCCCGGCTAATTTTTTTGGTATTTTTAGTAGAGAAGAGGGTTTCACGATGTTGGTCAGGCTGGTCTTGACCTGCTGACCTCAGGCTATCCACCCCCCTTGGCCTTCCAAAGTGCTGGGATTACAGGTAGGAGCCACCGTGCCCGGCCTTATTTATTTTTCAGATACAGTCTTGCTCTGTTGCCCAGGCTGGAGTGCAGTGGCGAGATCTTGGCTCACTACCACCCCTCATCCCAGGCTCAAACGATCTTTTCACCTTAACCTCCTGAGGTGCATGCTACTATGCCCAGCTAATTTTTTATATTTTTTTGTAGAGACAGGGTTTCACCATGTTGGTCTCAAACTCTTGGGCTCAAGCAATCTGCCAGCCTCAGCCTCCCAAAGTGTTGGGATTTCAGGTGTGAGCCATGGTACCTGGTCTCTTTTATTTTAAACTCGGGGGTACATGTGCAAGTTTGTTATCTGTAATCACAGTGTGATGCTGAGGTTGGGTTTCAAGTGATCCTGTTACCCAGCTAATGAGCACAGTACCCAAGAGTAAGTTTTTCAGCCCTTACCATTCTCCATCTCTCCCCACTCTAGCTGTCCCTAGTTTCTATGGCTGTAATCTTCATGTCCATAAGAACTCAAGGTCTACTTCCTACTTAAAAAGTGAGAACATGTGGTATTTGGTTTTCTGTTCCTGCTTAGCATAATCTACCCAGCTCCATCCATGTTGCTGCAAAAGACATGATTTCATTGTTTTTTTGGCTGTGTAGTATTTGATAGTGTATGTGAACACATTTTCTTTATCCACTCCACTGTTGATGGGCACCTAGGTTGATTCCGTATCTTTGCTATTGTGAATAGTGCTGTGAAAAACAGAGAAGTACCTGTGTCTTTCTGGTAGAATTATTTGTATTCTTTTGGATATATACTCAGTAATAGGATTGCTGGGTCAAATGGTAGTTCTGTTTTAAGTTCTTTGAGAAATCTCCAAACTGCTTTCCAAAGTGGCTGAACTAATTTATACTCCCACCAACAATGTGTAAGTGTTCCCCTTTCTCCACAGCCTCAACAGCATCTGTTGTTTTCTGACTTTTCAATAATAGCATTCTGACTGGTGTAAGATAGTATATAATTGTGGTTTTGATTTGCATTTCTCTGATGATTAGTGATATAGAGCATTTTTTCATATCATACAAGTTGGCTGCTTGTATGTCTTTTTTCTGGGAAGTGTCTATTCATATCATTTGCTCACTTTTCAATGTGGCTATTTGCTTTTTGCTTGTTCAATTGTTTACGTTCCTTATATATTCTCGATATTAGACCTTGGTTGGATGTGCAGTTTTCAAATATTTTCTCTCATTTGTAGGTTGTTTACTCAATGGATGGTTTCTTTTGAAAAGAACAATTTCTAAGTATGCTCGCATGTATATCTTGGAGGAAGAATGTTCAGAGTATGAAGATGAATTCTTTTTATTTTTTTTTTTGAGACAGCGTCTCACTCTATTGCCCAGGCTGAAGTGTACTAGCATGATCAGAGCTCACTGCAATCTAGAATTCCTGGGCTCAAGCAATCCTCCCACCTCAGCCTCCTGAGTATCTGGGACCAAAGGTGTGTGCCACTACCCTCAGCTAATTAAAAAATTTTTTTGTAAAACAAATAAAGGGTATTCAATTAGGAAAGGAGGAAGTCAAATTGTCTCTATTTGCAGATGACATGATTGTATATTTAGAAGACCCCATTGTTCAGCTCCAATCTCCTGAAATTGATAAGCAAGTTTGGCAAAGTCTCAGTATACAAAATCAATGTGCAGAAATCACAAGCATTCCTATACACCAATAACAGACTTAAAGAGAACCAAATCAAGAACGAACTGCCATTCACAATTGCTACAAAGAGAATAAAATACCTAGGAACACAACTAACAAAGTATGTAAAGGACCTCTTCAAGAACTACAAACCGCCCTCAAGGAAATAAGAGAAGACACAAACAGATGGAAAAACATTCCATGCTCATGGTTAGGAAGAATCAATATTGTGAAAAGGGCCATACTGCTCAAAGTAATTTATAGATTCACTGCTATCCCCATCAAGCTACCTATGACCCTCTTCACAGAACTGGAAAAAAACACCTTAAACTTCATATGGAACCAAAAGAGAGCCTGCATAGCCAAGTCAATTCTAAGCAAAAGGAACAAAGCTGGAGGCATCACACTACCTGACTTCAAACTATGCTACAAGGCTACAGTAATCAAAATAGCATGGTACTGGTACCAAAACAGAGATACAGACCAATGGAACAGAACAGAGGCCTCAGAGGCAATGCCACTCATCTACAACCATCTGATCTTTGACAAACCTCACAAAACAAGCAATAAGGAAAGGATTCCCTGTTTAATAAATGATGTTGGGAAAACTGGCTAGCAATGTGCGGAAAGCAGAAACTGGACCCCTTCCTGACACCTACACTAAAATTAACTCCAGGTGGATTAAAGACTTAAACATAAGACCTAACACCATAAAAACCCTAGAAGAAAACCTAGGCAAAACCATTCAGGACATAGGCATAGGCAAGGACTTCATGACTAAAACACCAAAAGCATTGGCAACAAAGCCAAAATAGACAAATGGGATCTAATTAAACTCAAGAGCTTCTGCACAGCAAAAGAAACAATCATTAGAGTGAACCGGCAACCAACAGAATGGGAAAAAATTTTTGCAAACTACCCATCTGACAAAGGCTAATATCCAGAATCTACAAAGAACTTAAATAAGTTTAACAGACAAACCCATTCAAAAGTGGGTGAAGGATATGAACAGACACTTTCCAAAAGAAGACATACATGAGGCCAACAAACATATGAAAAAATGCTCATCATCACAGGCTACTAAAGAAATGCAAATCAAAACCACATTGAAATACCACCTCATGCCAGTCTGAATGGCAATCATTAAAAAATCTGTAGACAACAGAGGCTGGAAGAGGATGTGGAGAAATAAGAACACTTTTACACTGTTGGTGGGAGTGTAAATTAGTTCAACTATTGTGGAAGACAGTGTGGCAATTCCTCAAGGACCTTGAAATAGAAATTCCATTTGACCCAGCAATTCCATTACTGGGTATATATCCAAAGGATTATAAATCATTCTATTATAAAGACACATGTACACATATGTTCACTGTGGCACTGTTTACAATAGCAAAGACCTGGAACCAACAACCCAAATGCCCATCAATGATAGACTGGACAAGGAAAATGTGGCACATATACACCATGGAATACTATGCAGCCATAAAAAACGATGAGTTCATGTCCTTTGCAGGGACATGGATGAAACTGAAAACCATCATTCTCAGCAAACTGACACAAGAACCTTCACCTCCCAGGCTCAAGCAATCTTCCCACCTCAGTCTCCCAAGTGTCTGGGACTATAGGTGCATGCCACCACGTCCAGCTAATGTTTGTATTTTGTAGATACAGGGTTTCACCATGTTACCTAGGCTGGTCTCAAACTCCTGAGCTCAAGTGATCCGCCTGCCTTGGTCTCCCAAAGTGCTAAGGTTACAGGCATGGGCCATTGCACCCAGGCTGCTAATACTGCAACTGAAATAGCTGCTTGTTCTTAATAACTATTTTATGAAACTCTCTTGCAAACAAGTACGTCATAGACAAACTATGTCTGCACAACTCTTAGAGTTGTTTAAAGTAACCTAATAGAAAGACAATGACAAAGGTCCATTCCTTATCTCTAGCTTTGTAAGTCCCAGGCTGCCTATGACACCTGGACTGATGCTACTGGGTCCCCTAGATCCCATGATGACAATGGAAAAAGGGCAGGCCAGGACAAGCATGAAGAATAAACAGTCTTTATTGGGCTCAGACTAGGAGTCTTTGGGCCAAGAGGACCTTGGTATATTTTTCAGTTTTATTCTCCATGTTCTTTTTGGCCTTTTCCCATAGCCTCATGAACTGTTTTTCTTCTGGTAATAGATCTTTTGGTAACAGACTTTCCTCTTCTCCTCCAGGGTGGCCATGATTGTCTGGTATTTCCTGTCAGCCTTGTGAGCCCAGTGCTCCAAGTAGGCAAACTTCCTTCAAGGCTCAGACACACAACATTGAGGGTGGCAGAAACTACTATCTGCTTTTCCTTGTCATACAGCAGTGGGATTCCATCAGACACCCTGAGGTAGTCCAGGGCAGCCTGGCCTTGCTTGGTCTTGTTGGGGAGCATACCGCATGTGGTCTGCCAAAAGATGTGGCTAGGGGCTCATAAATGGTAGGGTACTTGAGAAGGGTTGCTATTTGTCTGCTTGCAGAGGAAGGCTAGGTACTTTAATTTGTTTCTGTAGAAACTGCCAGAAATGTTGATGTCCTCACAGCACATGACCACTACTTTCTCTGCTGGGTCATGATAGCCTCCAGGTAGCCCAGGAATTGGACTCAGCTATCAAGCACTAGGACTGCCCCTCTGCCATCTTGGCAGCTGCGTGGGAAAACTCTGTCTGTCACATTTCAAATGTATTTCATGTTGAATCTTTCAAACAACTGGCTAACAATAAATATTCAATAATATAAATGATACTTTTACTTTGAAGATACAATTAAAATTTCCTGTTGTAAATTTTGAACCCACACGAGTGTCAATTTCACCTATTGACTCTCTTACCTCCTCGTGGTAATTCTGTGTGAAGATAGGCCAGTCCTCTAGTCACAGAATGAGCAAGACGACAAGAGCTTACCCAGTCACTTGTGTGGAGACTCAAATACTTGCATAAAGATCCCTACATAGAGGGAAAAATGCAAAAGAGAAAAAAAGGTAGAATTAACTTACTTTAACATGAAGAAGTAAGTTAGCATCCTTATAAAGAATTTGAAAATAGGCTAGGATTCCATGAAGATCTAATGAACTACGACATTTCAGAATCTTGAAAGAGTTAATATGACATTTCTGAGAGAAGAGGAGAGATGGGAAGAAGGGAAATTTAAACATTATCATTTTTTTTTTTTTTTTTTTTTTTTGAGACAGAGTCTCACTCTGTCACCCAGGCTGGAGTGCAGTGGCACAACCTCGGCTCACTATAACCTCTACCTCCCAGGTTCAAGTGATTCTCCTGCCTCAGCCTCCCAAGTAGCTGGGACTACAGGCATGCGCCACCAGGCCCAGCTAATTTTTGTATTTTTAGTAGATGAGGTTTCACTCTTGGCTAGGCTGGTCTCTTAACTCCTGACCTTGTGATCCGCCCACCACAGCCTCCCAAAGTGCTAGGATTACAGGTGTGAGCCACCACACCCAGCCTAAACATTATCAATTTTTATGTCTCCAATATTAAAAATTATGAATGATTCTTTCCTTTTAAACAATTCTTTGATAAAATTAGGACAGAAAACATGTATCATTCACCAGTACAAATATAAATCATATTGTTATGGTTCCTAAGTAGAAAACAAAAGGTTTTTGTAAATATATCTATTTATGTATTGGTGCTGCTCAAAGTTCTTATCTACAAACTATGACCAGTTGCTGATGAGAAAAGGAGTTTGCATCAAAATGAATGTCAATCAAAGTACTGCTTCCTTCATCAAAAAACTTATCAAAAAAATTAACTATAAAAGAGAGTAACAAAGAAAGAGAAGAAAGCTGAATAAACAGTATAATCAGTAATACAGTTCATTCACATTGTGGTGTGAGATCCTTATTCCATTGCAGACCATTAATAATCCAGCTTGTGAGTCAGTAATGCTCTCTCCATCAATACAGTGGTCCTCTCTGAAGTCTGATTAACAATTAATATAAACGTCAATTTTTTTTTTTGAGACAACGTCTTGCTCTGTTGCCTGGAGTGCAGTGGTATCATCTTAGCTCACTGCAATCTCCACTTTCCAGGTTCAAGCAAGTCTTATGCCTCAGACTCCTAAGTAGCTGGGATTACAGATGCGTGCCATCACACCTGGCTAATTTTTGTATTTTTAGTAAAGACAGTGTTTTGCCATGTTGGCCAGGCTGGTCTTGAACTCCTGGCCTCAAGTGATCCACTTGCCTTAGCCTCCCAAAGTGCTGGGATTACAAGCATGAGCCACTGCACCCAGCCTCAGTTTATTGCTTATGAGGTACTTACATTGGGATAATACTCCATTACAAGCAAATATTCCATGCGTCCATCTGCAGTGACTCTCTCATCTCCAACTATAAAGCGGGCAATGTTGTCATGTTCCATCAAAGGCACTCTGTAAATGTTCTTTTCATTGATAAAATTCTGACGGTTTGCAAAGGAAAACACTTTTACAGCAACCAGACGCTCATCCAAGGAGCCTTTATATACTGCTCCATATCGACCTCGGCCAATCAGCTATAAGTGTTTTAAAGAAAGCAAGGTATTCCCATGTGCATGTTCAAAGAGTAAGTGAAAAAAAAAGAAGAGGAAGAAAAAAAGAAAGGTATTAGTATCATAATTGAACAATCAAATTTACTAAACAAAAAAGTACAAATTTATATGGAATGCCACAGCTCTCTGTTGCTTATAGTTTATTCCATTATCAAGAAATCAATAAATTTTGTTCTAGTATGGCTGATGAAGCTCCTACCAGACCCAGCCTCCCCATAGATAACATTTATAAATGCTGGACAAAATTAAAAAAAAAAAAAGTTCTAAAGGCAGACAGATCTTGAGCGTCATTAAGGCTTTGAGAAAAAAGTGGCATGGGGTGAGCTACCCTTTTTTTTTTTTTTTTTTTTTTGAGACTAAGTCTCACTGGGTCACCCAGGTGGAGTGCAATGGTGCAATCTCGGCTCACTGCAACCTCTGCCTCCTGGGTTCAGACGATACTCCTGCCTCGACATCCTGAGTAGCTGGGATTACAGGTGTGTGCCACAGTGCCCAGCTAATTTTTGTATTTTTAGTAGAGATGGGGTTTCACCATCTTGGCCAGGCTGCTCTGTGACTCCTGACCTCGTGATCCACACATCTCGGCCTCCCAAAGTGCTGGGATTATAGGCGTGAGCCTCCGCCCAGCCTGAGCTACCCATTTTTATGGCTTTTAGCCTGAGAGCAGGCTGAAGTTAGCACTGTACAGTGGAACTAAACTTGCTAAAGAAAACAGTTTCTAGGCTAAGTGTGGTAGCTCACACTTGTAATCTCAGCACTTTGGGAGGCTGAGATGAGAGAGGTCAGGAGTTCATGATCAGCCTGGCCAACATGGCAAAACCCTATCTCTACTAAAAATATAATAATTAGCCAGGAGTGTGGCACGCACCTGTAATTCCAGCTACTCAGGAGGCTGAGGCAGGAAAATCACTTGAACCTGGGAAGCGGAGGTTGCAGTGAGCTGAGACCGTACCACTGCACTCTAGCCTGGGTAAAAGAGCAAGACTCTGCCTCAATTAAAAAAAAAAAGAAAAGAAAAGAATACTGTTCTGGCATTGGGAAACTCAGGAAATACTAGTAAAGCCACAGTTGCTGGCAAGTGAGGGGAGAACCCTAGAAAGGAGAAAGTCAGAGAGAGGGAAACTCAATAGAAGTACAAGACAATCTCCAGCTAAAGATGAAATAACTGAACTGAGATTTGAGCTTCTGCCCCAGACAAGTTTGTGATATGTGTCCAACCAAGTTAAATGCTTACTAAAACAAACAAACAAAAAAAACCTCAACAATCTTTAGAAGAGTCCAGTGTCTCCACAACACAATATTCACAATATCCAGAATACAAAAATATTACTGAACACACAAAGAACCAGCAAACTGTAACCCATTCTCGTCATTTTTGGCTTTGAGGGATTGCTTTCGCTTTTTATTGAAACAGGTTAGGGATTTACCATCATTTATTTAAGGATGTATGTTGTATTTCAGACGCTATTTCTAGGTTAAAATTATACAAAGTATCCTTTAAAAAGGTTGTATCAATATATAGTTAATTCAGCAATTTTGGGGAGTGTTTCTATGACTTAATCATGGTTAAACTTCCATGGGTTAATTAGTATTTCTTTCAACCTTGTAAACTGGACATTTTACTGTACATTTCTTCACCACATTTACTTCTTTTGTCCATTTTTTTGGGACAGGGGTCTCTGTCTCCCAAGCTCACTACAACCTCTACATCCTAGGTTCAAGTGATCCTTCAACCTCTCAGTCTCCTGAGTAGCTGGGAATACAGGCGTGTGCCACCCACCCAGCTAATTTTTTAATTTTTTACCAAATACACGGTGTTTTGCCATGTTGCCCATGGCTTGTCTTGAACTCCTGGGCTCAAGCAATACACCCACTTTGGCTCCCAAAAATTCTGGGATTACAGGCGTGTATCACCACACCCAGCCTTTTTGTCCATTTGCTATAGAATGTTTCTTTCATCTTGATTTGTATCAGTTCTTTATCAAGTTTTCCCTTGTATGTTGAATTTTTTTTTTCAAATTTGGCTTTTATCTTTGTTTATGGAATGTCTCTCCCAAAACAGAAAGTTCTTACAATTTTTTATATAAGCAAATCTATCATATATATTATTTAACAGTCTCTGGTTTGGGGATCATAGTTTTCAAGTCACTCTTAATAAAGATCATAAAAACACTTATCATAGCAATACTTTTAATGTAGCTTCTGAGATATCACCAAATGAAACGTAAATTCTATATATAAGAAGAGCCTTATGTATCTACAAAAACATGTAATATATGCATACAAAGAATATTTAATTGTTGTCTACTATGGATTCCTTGGTGTCACACTGTTTTCAAAATTTCATGTCTTTATTCTCATACCCTGTAAAAATCTGGACTCAAGGTCAACCCCTTTCTAAGTATATTTTCTTTTTTTCTTTTAAGATGGAGTCTTGCTCTGTCACCTAGGCTGGGACTACAGGCATGTGCCACCACTCCCAGCTAATTTTTGTATTTTAGTAGAGATGGGGTTTTGCTACGTTGGCCAGGCTGGTCTTGAACTCCTGACCTCAAGTGATCCACCTGTCTAGGCCTCCCAAAGTGATGGGATTACAGGAGTGAGCCACTGCGCCTGGCCATATTTTCTGTAATAACCCCCTTTTCATCATTTTCTTATCCACTGTACTTTTCTTCATAGCATTTCCTACTACTTGTAATTATATTATACATTCCTTTACCTGTTTGTAGACGTCCCAACTCAAATATAGGCACCAGGAGACATACCTGTATTGTTCACCTATATTCCCAGTATCTAGAATAGACCTTGACAAAAAACTGTTATTTAATAAGTAAGGGTTAAATAAATGAATGAATGTCTTAATGAGTGAATGAAATCACTGTTCCAGGTCTAGTATAATAGCAGAAACAAGAGTCCATAATCTAACAGCAAACTTACCTCCAACAGTTTCAGATTATCTAGGTCAAGAGAGGGTTCGGATGCTGCTGCCTCCATCATGTTCATACTGTGAAGACCTTGTTTACGGTCTCCTATAGGAATAGAATAAAGGTTACTAATATATGGTTTCCTTTTTTTTTTTATTTTGAGACAGAGTCTCACTCTGTTGCCAGGCGCCAGGCTGGAGTGCAGTGGTGCAATCTCAGCTTACTGCAAGCTCCACCTCCCAGGTTCAGGCAATTCTCCTGCCTCGGCTTCCCAAGTAGCTGGGACTACAGGCACGCGCCACCACGCCCAGCTAATTTTTGTATTTTTTAGTAGAGATGGGGTTTCACCATGTTGGCCAGGATGGTCTTGAACCTGACTTCATGATCTGCCCTCCTCGGCCTCCCAAAGTGCTGGGATTACAGGCGTGAGCCACTGCACCCAGCCTAATATATGGTTTTTTAAAAATGATTATCTTTTTATGCTTTTTACAATATTACAGTTAAAAAGAAGAGCTGCAGAAAGATTGGCAGTAAGATTTATGCCTAATGTCAATGAATAAAGCTATTTACTAAACTTGCTAACATCTATAAATGCAGATGAATGCAGAATAGCATGAAGGCCAAATTCTGGGAGACACTTCCATGATGACTTAATTTAAAAGTTTAAAACTTTAATATTACAAAAACTTTAAAGAAGACTATATAGAAGTTATTCAAATGAATGAATGAATGAATGCTGATTTCCTAAACAGTCCATCAAACCCAAAGCTTATTAGAACCAACTGAACATTTGATGATACTGAGGAATTACTGCTATTTTTTTCAGGTGTGAAAAGGGTACTATGAATATATATTCTTAAAGCCATTATATCATGGAGATAATATTTACAGATATCATATATCTATAAATACTAATTAACTACTTATTAGATATATGATATCTGTGACTTGCTTCAAAATAATCCAGTGGCATGGAAAGGGGTAGTGACTGATAATTTAGATGAAACAATACTGTCCATATGTGATAATTATTAAGGCTGGGTGTATTCTGCATAACTTTGAGACTATTTTTTTTTAACATAGGGAATTTAAAAGGAGAAAATAAATTCTGATTAAATTGCATGTTTAATAAACGATAGGACAGAAAGTGGTGATTTTTACCTGTCAACATTCTGTATCCAAAGCATAAGGCAACTATCAAAACAGCTAACACAGAGACTGATGCCAAAGCAATGATTATTGTCTCATCTCGGTTAAATGAATGAGGTGGACCTAAAAGAAAACAAATTTTGAAATGTTACCATTTTTTAAAAAAGTATTTTGTTAAATACTGACAGGACTGCCCTTCAGAAAGGCTGTATCAACGTATAATCAAATCAGTAATGTTTTTGGATCAAAGGAAATGAAAGAAAAAATTAGTAATAAATTTATGATAATTGCAAATTATATAATCATACAGACTATTCCATATAAATCTGGAACACTGAAACACCAAGTAGGTGTGCTCCTAATTATTGAAATATCAGCTATGCCATGGAATAGCATGGACAGGATGGTATAATATTAAGAGTCTTAGAATCGAATGGTTTTAGAATCACATTTGGTTTTAAATCCTCAATTTCCTCATTTATAAAAATAGTACTCTGTATTTCCCAAGTTAGCTGTGAGGTTTAGATGGCAGTCTAAGTACTTAGCACAATGTCAAGAATATGTTTTCAGACTGGGCATGGTGGCTCATGCCTATAATCCCAGCACTTCGGGAGGCTGCTGCAGGAGGATCACTTGAGACCAGGAGGTCAAGACCAGCCTGGACAACATAGCAAAACCCCAGGCACTAAAACAAACAAACAAACCAAATTAGTCAGACATGGTGGCATGCACCTGTAGTCCCAGCTACTCAGGGGACTGTGGCAGGAGGATTGCTTGTGCCCAGGAGTTTGAGGCTACAGTGAGCCATGATGGTACCACTGCACTCCAGCTTGGGTGATGTAATAAGACCATGTCTCTTAGAAAACCTTTAAAGTTTTTAAAAAAGAATATGTTATCTATGCAATAAATGGTAGTTATGTTTATCAATATTGATTTTATTATTAATAAAAATATCATGGCTTTACAGGCAGTTAAATCTGAATTGGACTTCAAGCTCAGTTCTTCCACTTAATATATGACCTTAGGAAAGTGTCTTCAACTATCTGGGCCCAAGTTTACGCATTTGCAGAATGGAATGGGAACATACATAAGTAAATCACAGGGCCATCATGAACATGAAAACATTTTATGTGTTAAGTTCCATTCTGTGGGTCAGATCATATCTAGAGCAAATACCCTTTAGGATGGATGGCCACAAACTACAGCATATCAAAAAGAAAGCAAATACAACTGTGAAGGTATGAGACCTCTGAACTGTGATGGGTAGAAATAACTGAAAGCATTTGATGAGGGAAAAAAAGAAAACTTGGGAGGATATGATAGCTGTCTTCATGTCAAAAAATGGACTTGATTTGGACCAAGAAAAAATAACCAGTTCCAGTTAGTGTATTTTTAAGGATAACAATCTTTAGTTCAGCATACAGAAAAACATGGTTTATAAATAGACCTGTCTAAAATAGAATGAATTACCCTATGAAAGAGCTGTTCATCGTTTTACTAGACGTAGTCATGCAAGGTTTGGTAATACTGATCAGAGGCTGTGCTTGATGACTGCCAGTATCTTCGTTCATTCTTTATATTCAATCAAAATCAAGCATGTTGTACTCAAATTAGAAGCTTCTGTGGCAAAGTAAGATGCCTCTATGGCAAAGAGTTCCTCTGATGGACATTCCTGTTCTAATGAATTTATTTATCCCAATCAAATTAAGTAGAAGTTGCTTATTAAAATGTCAAAACTATATCTCTGTAGAAAGATCTGTTGAAACAATACTGAAATACTCTTAATTTGCAGGCCATTTATTAGATTTTCTTTTTTCCTTCCCTCCTTCCTTTCCCTCCCTCCCTTCCTTTCATCCTTCCTTCCTTCCTTTTTCTTTAACAGACTCTTGCTCTGTCACCCAGGCTGGAGTGCAGTGGCACAATCTTGGCTCACTGCAAATTCCACCTCCCAGGCTCAAGCAATTCTCATGCCTCAGCCTTCTGAGTAGCTGGAATTACAGGCGTGCACCACCACACCTGGCTAATTTTTTGTATTTTTAGTAGAGATGGGGTTTCACCATGTTAGCCAGGCTGGTCTTGAACTCCTGGCCTCAAGTTGATCTGCCCACCACAGCCTCCCAAAGTGCTGGAATTACAGGCATGAGACAAGGTACCTGGCCCATTTATAAGATATTAATAGTTTATAACATATTAATAATTCTACCTCCTTATAACATACAGAGTAAGTTACAGGCAGAAAAGCTACATATAAAACTCATTTTACCACAGTGAGATATTATTTCACACACATTAGCATGGCTACAATGTTAAAAAAAAGAAGAAAATCAAAAGCACTGGCAAGGATGTGGATAAATTAAAACTCTTGCAGATTGCTGGTGGGAAATAAAGTGGTAAAAACACAGTAGAAAAAAGTTTACAAGTTCCTCAAAAAGTTAAACATGGAATCACCAGAAGACCTAGCAATTTCACTCCTAGGCATATATCCAAAAGAACTGAAAACAAGTGTTCAAACGAAAACTTCACATGCAGGTTCACAGCATCACTATTCACAATAGCCAAAAGTGGAAATAACACAAATGTTCATAAATTGATGAATGGATAAACAAAATGTGGTATATTCAATACAAGGGAGTTAACAAAAGGTTGAATACTCTATGATTCCACTGAAATAAAATACCCCGAATAGGCCAAATCCATAAAGACAGAAAGCAGGTTAGTAGCTGCCAAGGACTGGGGAGAGGAGGAAAGAGGGAGTGACTGCTTACTAGATACTGTATTTCACTTATGGAGTGATGAAAACGTTTTTGAACTAGATAGAGGTAATAGTTGCACAACACTGTGAATGTGTTGAGTGGTACATTTCATTTTAATATGACTAATTCTAAGTTATATAAATTTTACTTCAATTAAAAAAAAAAAAAACTAAGGCTGGACGTGGTAGATCACACCTGTAATCCCAGCACTTTGGGAGGCCAAGGCAGGCGGATCGCAAGGTCAGGAGTTTGAGACCAGCCTGGCCAACATGGTGAAACTCTGCATCTACTAAAAATACAAAAATGAACTGGGCATGGTGGTGTTTGCCTGTAATTCCAGCTACCCAGGGGGTCAAGGCAGGAGAATCACTTGAACCCAGGAGGCGGAGGTTGCAGTGAGCTGAGATTATATCATTGCACTACAGCCTGGGCGACAGAGCAAAACTCCATCTCCAAAACACACACACACACACACACACACACACACACCACACACCAAACACTAATTTTAGAATTTACTAAACCTGAAAGAGAAACTATTTTCAAGACATAAACATATGCACACATACACACATATACAAAACTAAATAATTTATAGATTCATGACTATACATAGATATTTTATTTCCTTTATTTTTTTTCGTTTTTTTTTTTTCTCCTCCATGTGACCTTTATTCCATACTTGTCCTCAGGGGTGTCTTTAACCAGAACAGGTCCAGGCTCCAGGCTACTGGGAGTGCCAGTGTGAAGAGAGCAGCTTGAAATGTTGTTTTCCTTCTGATTTGGGGGAATGAGTTCTTCCTTCATAGACGATGACTCTGGGGTCTGGATATCAGGTGGAATGAACACATAAGGTAAGCTCTGAAGTGCCTGAGCTGACATGTCCCCACAGCTTTGGGGACTGAGCACTGGAACTAAGGGTCTTCTGGAAACAGGCTTTTCTGATTGACTAAGGAACTCCCTGATTAAGGAGTCCCCAATGTCTCTGAACTGGAAGATTGTGGATTCTCAAAAGTTAGCTGTGGAAACTTGGAAGTGGTAGATTTTCGACTTAAATGTCTCGCCCGGTCTTGGTGGTGGTGTTTCTGGTAGGCTGGGAACAAACTTCCTGCTGTTGTATCAAAATCAGGTGATACCCAGGAAGTGATGGTGCTGTGGTCAATGGGCTTGCTGGGCACCTGTCGAGTGTGAGTGATGGGATGCTGTGTAGATGCATAGCAGTGTTTGGGGCCCTCCAGTGGTTGTTGGTGGAACAGCAGCTGGGCTTTCTGGGAAGGCTGGCGGTGTTTTTTTCTGGGAGGCATCAACCGGTGAATGAGGAACAGTTGGTAACCACATGATGCTGATAGCCTTACTCTGTTATCTCGTCTCACTGCAACCTCCACCTCCCAGGTTCAAATGATTCTCCTGCCTCAGCTGCCTGAGTAACTGGGATTACAGGTATGCGCCACCACACATGGCTAATTTTTGTATTTTTAGTAGAGACGGGTTTTCACCACATTGGTCAGGTTGGTCTCAAACTCCTGACCTCATGACCCTCCCGCCTCGGCCTCCCAAAGTGCTGGGATTACAGGTGTGAGCTACCGCACCCAGACTGACTATGTTTTACTATAAAATGCTTATGCACAGAAAAACTAAAAGATTAACAAAGATTTTTGGGTGATTTTTAAAATATTTTGTAAACTTTCTATAATAAATATGTATTATCTCTAAGTAGAAAAATAAATGCCATCATTTTAAAAGAACTCACTTATGTCGGGCTTAGTGGCTCATGCCTGTAATCCCAGCATTTTGGGAGGCCAAGGCAGGTGGATCACAAGGGCAGGAGTTCAAGACCAGCCTGAGCAATATGGTGAAACCCCAATTCTACTAAAAATACAAAAATTAGCTGGGTGTGGTGGCAAGGGCCTGTAGTCTCAGGTACTCAAAAGGCTGAGGCAGGAGAATCGCTTGAACCTGGGAGGCAGAGGTTGCAATGAGCCAAGATCAAGCCACTACACTCCAGCCTGGGTGACAAAGCAAGACCCCATCTCAAAAAAAAGAAAAAAGAAAAAGCAAAAAAAAAAAAAAAAAAAAAAACAGAAACAGAAGAATTCACTTCTTGCTCTTTAGGAGTTCACGATGGAGTACCAGTTTTAATGTATGAAGTATTGATATTTCCTTTATTAAATGGGTACAGAATATTCCTGCTTTGATATCAATAAGGAATTATCCTTTATCTTTTTTGGATCCCAGCTGTTCTGAAGGTCTGAGAGTTAAAAAAAATTCTGGCAAGGCCAGGCGCGGTGGCTCAAGCCTGTAATCCCAGCACTTTGGGAGGCCGAGGTGGGTGGATCACGAGGTCAAGAGATCGAGACCATCCTGGTCAACATGATGAAACCCTGTCTCTACTAAAAATGCAAAAAAAATTAGCTGGGCACGGTGGCGTGTGCTTGTAATCCCAGCTACTCAGGAGGCTGAGGCAGGAGAATTGCCTGAACCCAGGAGGCGGAGGTTGTGGTGAGCCAAGATCACGCCATTGCACTCCAGCCTGGGTAACAAGAGCGAAACTCCTTCTCAAAAAAAAAAAAAATTCTGGCATATGATACATAAGATTTACCACAGAAACAAAAAGTCTACTTAAACTTAGTATTAAACAAAATGCATAATAAAATGACAATTTTCAACCTATTTTCCTTTGTCTACAAAAATCTAAACATACCACAGGCATCTTAATTATTTCATATATATTTCATATTGTAACCACTGAAACTAGTTTGTATTAAATGGCGAAGAGGTTTACCCCAAAGATAAGCTATTATCCTTTTATCTCTCCTTATTCTCAAATATTAAAAGAATAATAAAGCAGGCACATAATAATTCAAATATACTGACTATTTACGTCTTGGAAGAATTATCAACATCAGGATAATCCACTGATTTCTTTAGAATTAACTAAAGAAGCAAACAAGGAAAGGGAACAAACCATTTAAACGATGTTCTTAAGTACAGTTAAACTATTCTGCATAGTGTGGGTTGTTGAAAAACCACAGACAGCTGGTCCAATGGTAGTGGTTTACCAAAACTTACTAACATTGGTGTCACTAAGGTTGGTACACAACTCCCAACTACTAAATTTGACTGGCTAAAAAAGAGACAGAGAGAAGGACAGAGAGAGAGAGAGAGAAAGAAAGAAAAAGCCACAGAGGCAGACAGATCAGCCCGGTAAGAACCCAAAAGGTCTGGGATGCTCTTTATAAGCAGTAGCTTGAAGCTAACCTTCAGAGCCAACAATAAAATTGCAAACAGATTCTATAAGGTATAAATGCAGTTGTCAATCAAAGAATGCATCTCACATGCGTATGTCTGTTCAGCAATACCTACGTAGTGAATGATTTTGTTAATGACACCTCCAGATTACAAAGTATTGGCTAGTCTAAAAAATATATAATCAACCCAGCAATCCTATTACTGGATACATATCCAAAAAATAAAAATAAATTGTTCTACCAAAAAGACACACACACTTATATGTTCATCACAGCACTATTCACAATAGTTAATTCCAACAAATGGAATGAACCCAGGTGCCCATCAACTGCAGACTGGATCAAGAAAATGTGTTACATATACTCCATGGAATACTACACAGCCATAAATAAGCACAAAATTATGTCCTTTGCAGCAATGTGGATGCAGCTGGAGGACATTATCTTAAATGAACTAATGCAGGAATAGAAAATCAAATACTATCAAATAAGTGGTAGCTAATCACTGGGTACACTTGAACAAAAATATGGAAACAACAGATGCTGGAGGCTACCAGATGGGGGAAAAACAAAAGGGGATAAGGGCTGAAAAAAACTACCTATTGGGTAATGTGCTCACTACCTGGGTGATAGAATTATTCATACCCTAAACCTCAGCATAAATGCAATACATCCATTTAATAAACCTGCACATATACCCACTGCATCCAAAATAAAAGTTGAAGTTAAAAATACATATACACACAACCAGGTAGTTTTTTTTCCTGAAAAAGATCCATATTTTACTCCACAAAATTAATATCTCTAAAATAAATAATAGGAACAAATTCTTTGTGGGTGATACCCATAGAAAAACAGAGGCCGACATTCTAAATGAAAAAGCTCCCTTACTTTGCAGTAGAACTCAACAGCTTCTGCAATCATTTCATTTCTTCTACTGCCAAGAAGAAAACCTCATAGAGTTATGATGAGAATATCAGTCTTAAAAATAGTAGTTGAACCATAAGAGATAAAGGTTGTAAGGGGTGTGATTTAAACATGCCTTATAGCATACATTAGGTTAGTACAAAAGTACTTGCAGTTTTTGCTGTTAAACTTTTAATTATGTTTAATGGCAAAACAGCAATTACTTCTGCACCAACCTAATAAGTGCCAGTTTTATCTGGTATAAGAAACAAGATAGGCCAGGCGAGGTGGCTCATGCCTGTAATCCCAGCACTTTGGGAGGCCGAGGCGGGTGGATCATGCGGTCAAGAGATCGAGACCAACCCGGCCAACATGGTGAAACCCTGTCTCTACTAAAAATACAAAAATTAGCTGGGCATGGTGGTGCATGCCTGTAGTCCCAGGTACTCAGAAGGCTGAGGCAGGAGAATTGCTTGAAACCAGGACGCAGAGGTTGCAGTGAGCTGAGGTCATGCCACCGCACTCCAGCCTGGTGACAGAGCAAGACTGTCTCAAAAAAAAGAAAAGAAAAGAAAAAAGACAGCCTTCAGTGACATCTTCTATACATGTCAGGTGTAGACAAACCATGTAAAATACTACTAGGATAGAAATGTGAGATACTATATACATTCTACATATGAACTAATTGAAGATATTCTTTAGGAAACTAGTGGAACAGTCAAATACTGATTATCTAAAGCAGGGGACTCTAGTCTTTTGGTTTCCCTGGGCCACACTCGAAGAAGAATTACCTTGGGCCACACATAAAATACACTAACACTACAATAGCTGATAAGCTAAAAAAAAAAATCACCAAAAAAATCTTGTAATGTCTTAAGAAAGTTTACGAATTTGTGTTGGGTTGCACTTAAAGCTGTCCTGGGCCGCATGCAGCCCACAGGCCAAAGGCTGGACCAGCTTGAAACAATGGTGAAGAGCTAGCGCTTAAAAGCTTTGAATAATCTTTGAAATTGATCACAGGGAGTAAGGCAAATGAGTACCTTGCAATTAAATTTTTTTTTTTTTAATGTGAATCATTTTTCATCATGAAATGCTCTTAAGAATACAAAGCATTGGCAGCGTGTAGTGGCTCACGTCTGTAATCCCAGCACTTTGGGAGGCCAAGGCGGCCAAATCACAAGGTCAGTAGTTCAAGACCAGCCTGATGAGAATGGTGAAACCTTGTCTCTATTAAAAACACAAAAATTAGCTGGGCATTGTGGCAGGTGCCTATAATCCCAGCTATTTGGGAGGCAGAGGCAGGAGAATTGCTTGAACCCGGGAGGCGGAGGTTGAAATACACCATGATCGCACCACTGCACTGTAGCTTGGTGATAGAGCAAAATTCTGTCTCAAAAAAAAAAGAATACAAAGCATCTTTCCTGCTCCCCTAAATATACTGAACACCTACAAGACTAGAGTTACCATTTTGAGTATCAATTAGTCTAGGGTGATATTCTCAGGGCCTGTTAGAAATTCTCAGATCACTGGAGTTCTTTAAAGTTATTTTGTCTGATTTTCCAGTTTTCCAGCTCATTCTTTGTCTATTGTTTTTAATTTGTCAATGTGCTTGTTGTCTTAGTGTTTTTTAGAATCTAGCATGGGGTTTGAAAACGAAAGGCCTAACGTTGTAAATGAATGTAAAGTTACAGAAAACAGACTTAAAACCCTAAGGGACTTCCCTAAAAAACATATGTGAGCTTTCATACAAAGATTTTGTAGCATCCACCTTACCTGCTTGTAGGATTTTTAGTCAGTCTCCCAAACATCTGAGACTACAGCCATGAGCCAACATATCTGGCTAATTTTTATTTTTGGTAGCGCCATGTTGTTCAAGTTGGTCTCAAACTCCCAGGCTCAAGCAATCTGCCTGCATTTGCCTCCCAAAGTGCTGGAATTACAGGCATAAACCACACACCTAGCCATAACAATTATAAATAAACCTGTTAAATTTTTCTGGACAATGCCTGCAATTTTTTGGGAAAATAAGTAAATTTCTTATTGACAGCAAATAAATTATGTTTGCAGCATTTTAATCATACAATAGGTTCCATCTGTTCACTACACTTTTTTGAGTTGTCCTACATTCAAGTACATGGTTTTTTGTTTGTTTTGTTTTTTGAGACGGAGTCTCGCCAAGCTGGAGTGCAGTGGTGTGATTTCAGCTCACTGCAATCTCTGCCTCCCAGGTTCCAGTGATTCCCCTGCCTCAGCCTCTGGAGTAGCTGGGACTATAGGCATGCACCACCACTCTTGGCTAATTTTTTGTATTTTAGTAGAGACAGGGTTTCACCATGTTGGCCAGGATGGTCTCCATCTCCTGACTTTGTGTTCCACCCGTCTCAGCCTCCCAAAGTGCTGGGATTGCAGGCGAGAGCTACCGCACCTGGCAAGGACATGTTTTTAATGCTGTTTTTTTGCTGTTCCTGTTATTCCTGTTATTAAAATACATTAAACGATAAAACAAAAATAAGTGACCTCATAAGTGACTTTTAAGGTCCTTCTACTTCCAAAACTTTGTATTACGAGTCTTCTCATACAGCTTTTTGAAGGCTCAGCATTCTTTGCTTTTATTCTCAAATTTATAAAAGAAAATGCAACAAAAGTTTTACATTAAATATTCATTAATTCAAAATCTAAAACATGCATTATTAATTCATACATTGGAGAGGATTAAAAAAACAGATTTTAAACATGTTATAGTGCTGGGAAGGGAAGAGGGTGGACTCTTTAAATAATACAGAAGGAGGGGGGGAAGCGCTGGGTAGAGAAACATGGGTTCCTGGCTAGGCCTCCACCCCCACAGACGTAAAAACAGGCACTTCCGCTTTCCCTCCCAAATGTTGCATTTCCAAAACCACCATGGCCCACCACACCACCATCCTGGGACTGTAAAAGCCCAAAACTCTAGCAGGCAGACACACAAGCAGGCCAGACATCAAGAGGAGCACACTGGCAGAAGACGCAAGCTGCTGGTTGTCGAGAGGGACAGTCTAGCAGAAGAGCACACCAACAGGCGCCAGAAGAGCACACCGCAGGCACCGGCAGGCCATCAACCAAATGACGCAGTTTGGCTGGGGCAGATGGAGGAGACCCTGGCCACCGAGCAACCCAACTCCAGGGAAAGACTATCTTCCTTCTGGCTGCCCCATCTGCTGAGAGCTACTTCTACTAATAAACCTTGCATTCATTGTCCAAGCCCAAGTGTGATCCGATTCTGTCACCAAGACAGGAAACACTGGGATACAGAAATCCCTCTGTCCTTGTGATAAGGAAGAGGGTCTAACTGAGCTACTACAAGCCACCTATAGATGGCAAACCAAAAGAACACCCTGTAACACATGACCATTGAGACTTCAGGAGCTGTAAACATTCACCCCTAGACACTGCTGTGGTGTCAGAGCCCCACAGCCTGCCTATCTGTATGCTCCCCTAGAGGTTTAAGTAGTGGGGCACTGAAGAAACAAGCTACATCCCACATCACATGCCCTGCAAGGAGGACAAGGGAACTTTTCCCGTTTCATTATAAACCATGACTGGTTAAATTTCAAATAAAAACTTTGCAAGGCTATGTCACATAGTCTAAAAATATGAGATCCCTGAAAAACTGCCAGTAAAATATTTCAATATGGGTATTCACATGTATGTGCAATAAAAGAGGCCTTTAACTAGAAACTCCTATTTTTTATTGTCTGTTTCTTAAAAAAAAAAAAAAAACTCCCTTTTTCTAGTGGGCCACACACTTTGAGATAGACTGCAAAAACAGCAGTGATCAAGATAAATTCCTCTGCCTCATCAGAGTGAATCTCTCTCTCATTATTATACGAGTTCCACTTAATCATTATATAACATATACTACATGTATGTTATACCTGAATTGCCTTGTTCTCCTACCTCTAATAAACCCTCTTTTTCTTCCCTATTAGTTTTCTCAGTAAAATACTTAGCCAAATGTAAACACTGCTATGTGCCTGTGTGCAATAGCTGGGCTTATACAAGCAAGGACTTCCTGAATGCAGAACAGACAGGGAACCTCTGTCTGTCTCATTGGAGCCTGGGATGTTTCTGTTTACAAATCCTGGAGCCAGGCCGGTGCCGCTAATGGAGGCATTCTGTCTGTTTCCTTGCTACACTAGGCCTTTGTCTGGGTCTGTGTCAAAGAAAGAACAACACTGTTACACGTGCAGCAAGCGGCAAAGAGAAGCTTAAATATAACACACCAGTGGTTATGACAGCTCCTTAATCTTTTACCACTCTGTAGAAAGGCAAATTGGGGATTAGTTTTTGTAGTTTTCAAGCAATGTATTTTTCATACAAGTAGAGAAAAACATTTAAATCCAAAACAATGTGATCAGAGTTAAATGGATTCCCTGGCAAAATAATCCAAATTGTTAAAATATTGTTTCTGTACTATAATTCATTATGGAGCTCAATATTTTGAACAAATGTTTTTATAGGAAATAAACAATGTTGATTTATTTTAATTAATATGTCTGGAATGGCAGTAATCATAATCAGACTAATATTTATATTTAATGCCCTAAAAACAAACTGAGAGGGGGCAGATTTCTTGTTTTAATTTTTCAAACAAGTAGTTAATACTGAATATGAAAGACTGGTTTAAATGTAACTTGTTAATTATTTTTAATAGATCTAGCCCAGAAGAAAAAGTAAAAAATAACAACAACAAAGAAAAATAGCTCATACTTTGCTAATTGAATTAAGGCATTTGATGACTCAAATGATGAGTGAATTATGAAAGAAACAGTGAAAAACTGAAGGAGAGAGATAAATATTAGAAAAGACAGGAAAAAATGGTCAAGACATTCAGTGCCCCTCCTCCTTAACTTTTAGCTTCGTAAGTATTTACAATTTTAATTTCTTTAGAATGTATTTTAACTGGCTGTTTTATAATTAGGAGAGATAATTTCGGCAATTTATTTTATTAAAGAATGAATTAAAACAATTATATTTGATTGGAATAAAATCCTTAAAAAACGGAAAGATCAAATTTAATAAACTGGGAATTTTTAAAATATGAGAAAAATGGAAGAATTAATTTGCAGACCATTGTATATTAAAACATTTATTAAAGTATAAAGAAAATACCATTAAATATGCTCTCAAAGTATTTCTGGTATAATTCTAGTTTAATTACCTCTATTGTACTAAGATTGGACTTTTTAGTTATGATAGAACAGTGTTTGTTACTCTATACAACTTTTTAAAAAAGTATTTAATAATTCTTAAAAAACACCAATAACCTAATTGAGTAAGAAACGTCCATTTAAGCCTGTTACCAATAGAAAACCTAGTCATTATAATAATCATTATTTAAAACAAACAAATTAAAAATAAAATTTACAATACAGAAAATTCACAAGACTCACAATATAGAACCAAACCAAAGAATGTCACTCAAAGATCTCTCGTCAATTTTCCTAACTGCTCCACAAGATGACAATTCTAAATTCAGAATCCATACTCAAGACCTCTGTTTTCAGAAAATTACCATGAACTAATAATCTGACTATCAAAGTGAAAGCTATGCCTTCCAGTTATTTACTGACTGAACAACAAAACATGAATCGCATCATGCGGGCAACTCCCTCAATCCATTTCATGGTCTTTTAATTATCATAGCAACCTTTGCTCTCTTATAAGGAAAACAAGATAGATATTCGGAGAAAAATGAATAGTTTTTTTTCCTACTAAATTTTTGCTGGTCTGCTTCCTAGTTTTTTTCCCTTGCTCTAGCTTTCTGATTTCCCACAATGATTTCCCTTTTTTTTTTTTTTTTTTTTTTTTGAGACACAAAGTTTTGTTTTTGTTGCCCAGGCTGGAGTGCAATGGCACAATCTCCACTCACTACAACCTCCACCTCCAGGGTTCAAGTGATTTCTCCTGCCTCAACCTCCTGGGTAGCTGGGATTATAGGTGCCCATCACCAGGCCCAGCTAATTTTTGTATTTTTAGTAAAGACAGGTTTTCGCTATGTTGGCCAGGCTGGTCTCAAACTCCTAGCCTCAAGTGAACCACCTGCCTCAGCCTCCCAAAGTGCTGGGATTACAAGCATGAGCCACTGTGCCCGGCCTGATTTCTGTTTTTTAAACTTTAAAGTTACAATATATATGCTGGGCACAGTGGCTGACTCCCATAATCCCAACACTTTGGGAAGCCGAGGTGGGCGGATCACGAGGTCAAGAGATCAAGACCATCCTGGCCAACATGGTGAAACCTTGTGACTACTAAAAATACAACAATCAGCCAGGCATGGTGGCAGGTGCCTATAGTCCCAGCTACTCAGGAGGCTGAGACAGGAGAATTGCTTGAGTCAGGGAGGCAAAGGTTGCAGTGAGCTGAGATCGTGCCACTGCACTCCAGCCTGGGTGACAGAGCAAGACTCTGTCTCAGGAAAAAAAAAAAAAGAGATGCACCCAGTGTAGGAACAAAATAGACAAAAAAGCTTAGGAATAAAGAGATAGGATGGGCTCAGAGCAGTGGCTCACGACTGTAATCTCAGTACTTTCAGAGCCGAAAGTGGGAGGATCACTTAAGCCCATTAGTTCAAGACCAGACTAGACAACCTACAAAGACCCCATCTCCACAAAAAATTAAAAGATTAGCCAGACGTAGTGGCACACACATGTAGTTCCAGCTATTCAGTAGGCTGAGGTGAGAAGATTGCTTGAGCCTGAGAGGCTGAAGCTACAGTAAGCCATAATCATTCTACTGCACTCCAGCCTGTGTGACAGTGTTTCAAAAAAAAAAAAAAAAAGAGTGGAGGGAAATATATCTTAAGCATAAACTGGACAAGGCTTTATGAAACTAATGCTATTCAGAAAATAATCCTTAATCCATTTCCAAAACCACCAAAATCTTTAATTCATCTTTTCGAGTTCCCACAATTGTTCTCTTGTCCCCAAAATATCTATTGTAATTTTTTTTTAACAATCTGACAAAAGACTCCTACTAAACATGCACATCTGGTCTTCTGTGAAAAGATATTAAAAAGAATTTTAGGGCTGGGTGTGGGGCTCATGTCTGTAATCTCAGCACTTTGGGAGGCTGAGGTGGGCAGATCACAAGGTCAGGAGTCCAAGACCAGCCTGGCCAATATGGTGAAACCCCATCTCTACTAAAAATACAAAGACTAGCGGGCATGGTAGTGCTCGACTGTAGTCCCAGTTACTCGAGAGGCTGGGGCAGAAGAATTGCTTGAACCCAGGAGATGGAGGTTGCAGTGAGCCAAGATTGTGCCACTGCACCCCAGCCTGGGCAACAGGGAAAGACTCCATCTCACACACAAAAAAAGAATTTGTCTCCCTCAGATTGTTACTGATTTTTCTCAAGCCTGTCCATAATCATTTGCACAGGCCCAGCATGGTGCCTCACACCTGTAATCCCAGCACTTTGGGAGGCCATGGCAGGTGGATCGTTTGAGCCTAGGTGTTCCAGACCAGTCTGGCCAATATAATGAGACCCCATCTCTACCAAAAATACAAAAATTAGCCAGGCATGGTGGTGCATGCCTGTAGACCCAGCTACTCAGGTAGGAGAATCAACTGAACCTGGGAAGCTGAGGTTGCAATGAGTGAAAATTGCGCCACTGCAGCCTGGGCAACAGAGCAAGACTCTGTCTCCAAAAGAAAAAACAACATTGCTCAGTTTCTATAAACGATACTCCTTATATAATGAGAGTAAGGAAGTAACAGAGTATCAAGGGCACTGATGACCCTAAGGGGAGTTTAGATTAATTGTTGTTGCTACTTTATCTCTAAAACAGGCACTTCTTTTCCCTAATCCTACTTACTCCTTACCCTTCTTTTTCTTTTACGTTCTTTCTCCCTGTACATATTTCTGTCTGCAAATGAGTTTCAGAGGCACTTACATGTCCTGCTTAGAAGCACTGGAGAAATTCTGGCATATGCAGGAAGTTCTATTTTTAATCCAACTCTATCTTTTGTATATATACACACATATATACATATACACATACATACACGTATATATACATATATATGTATATACACACACACGTACATATTGGCACCTATACATTTATATATATACTATACACCTATATATGTACACACACACATACACACACACCCCTATATCTTTGAGTAGCTATATATTTGGTACTATCTCTTGTGTGTGTGTGTACACATCTTTTAACTTTAGAAGGTAACTCTCTTTGTTTCCTAAAATTGTCCCTTCCCTATAATGAAAATGTATCCACCTTCTTACCATAGCCTCATGATAGATAGAGTGTAGCTCCTTTCTCCTTGACTTTGAATCTGGCTACTTAACTTGATTGACCAATGAGAAGCTGACAAATATAAAGTGAGCAGAAATCTAAAAGATGCTTGGATACTTGGGTTTGCACTCCTTGTAAGCAGGCAATCCATTACTGATAGGAACTTGTCCTGAGTTGCCCACTGATCCTGGGTCCCAGACAAAAAGATATGAATTGATCCGGAAGTCTGAAACTGAATCCTGCCTAGATCAGCCAAATCCAGCTGATCTACAGACATATGATTATGAAAATAAATGTTTGTTAAAACTACTGAGCTTAGGGAGGCTTGCTGATGAAGTATCATCAGTAACAGCTGACTAATACATTAGTATGCCTACTACTGCCCATGTAATATCTTACATGGGTATATATGAATATATATAACTTTCAGTTTTCTAAAAATTGTGTCCATATTTTTAATCACAATTATAGACACAATTTCATCTAAACAAAGGAGTCTATAAATAATGAGCAGAATCCCACTACTAACTACAGAATGAATTTTTTACACTGGAAAAAGTAATCATGTTTGTTTATTTAAAACAAAGCACTTCAGGTGTTTTGTGTAGTAAGATATGTAATATTCCCAAAGATCAACATTTATTTACCATTTGTGAGATGTATAAACTTTAAAATACAACTTTAAATCTATTTCTATCTTTAGTACCTTGTCTTAGTCTAATTATATTCTAACTTTCTCTCCAGGTTAAATTATAGGAATTCCATCTATTGCTACTTAAATCCTGGGGTGTTCTTAATTACCACTGCCTTTAACTTTTGCAATTATCCTGAGGTATTCTTAATTACCACTGGTTTTACTTTTGTAATTATCTTATTCCTTTCTTTTTGTTCCCTTAGCTACGTGGTCTTCTGCTTTTTCATATCTCCATTTATGAAAAACAGTACATAAAATAGTATTAAAAAGTAACCAGGACTGGGTGAGGTGGCTTACACATGTAATCCCAGCACTTTGGGAGGCCAAGGAGGGTGGATGGCCTATGGTCAGGTGTTCGAGACCAACCTGGCCAACATAGTGAAACCCCATCTCTACTGAAAATACAAAATATTGGCCAGGTGCGGTGGCTCACGCCTGTAATCCCAGCACTTTGGGAGGCCAAGGCAGTTGGATCATGAGGTCAAGAGATCGAGATCATCCTGGCCAACATGGAGAAACCCTGTCTCTACCAAAAATACAAAAATTAACCGTGTGGTGGTGTACACCTGTAGTCCCAGCTACTCGGAAGTGGGTGCAGAGGCTGCGGTGAGGTGAGATCATTCCACTACACTCCAGCCTGGTGACAGAGCAAGACTCCATCTCAAAAAAAAAAAAGAAAGAAAAAAGAAAATAAAATAAAATACAAAAACTTAGCTGGGCGTGATGGTGACCACCTGTAATCCCAGCTACTCAGGAACCAAGATTGTGCTGCTGCATTCCAGCCTGGACAATAAGAGCAAAACTCCATCTCAAAAAAAAAAAAAGGTAACAAAAAGATACCTTATTATATGAGGTACCTAAAGTAGTCAAATTCATCAGATAGAAAGTAGAATGGTAATTGCCAAGGGTTAGTAGGGGAGATTGGTGAGTTGTTTAATGCCTATAGAGTTTCAGTTTTGCAAGACAAAGAGGTCTGGAGGTTGGTTATACAACAATGTGAATGTACACAATGCTATTAAAGCCATGCACGTAAATATACTATGACAGTAAATTTTGTATTTTTTAAAATGGTTAATCTCTGGGCATGCTGGCTCATACCTGTAATCCTAGCACTTGGGGAGGTCAAGGCAGAAGGATTTCTTGAAGCGAGGAGTTTCAGACCATCCTGGGAACACAGCAAGACCCTGTCTCTACAAGAAAAATTCTAGCTACCAGGGAGGCTGAAGTGGAAAGATCACTTGAGCCCAGAAGTTTGAGGCTGCTGTGAGCTATGATCATGCCACTCCACTGCACTCCAGCCTGAGAGACAAAATGGGACCCTGACTCTTTTTTTTTTAAAGATTAAAATAGTAAATTTTACATTTTTAAACAAAGGTTTAAGGATAGTTCTCACCTTTTTCAAAAGATGATGTTTTATTTTTTAAATATTGAGAATATACATAAAAATACCTAACTCAGTCACAAAATTTTGAGTATTTATAAAATGCTTTATAATACTGTTAGTACTTATGTCATAATATTGTAATTATTGACATAAGTACAATATTCCAATCTACTTATATCCCTTCCCCACATATCCACCCTTACACCCTCAACAGGAGTTCATGGGTGAGGGTAAAAAAGAGGATGAAAAACAAAATCCTGTTCACCTCTTTATTGTCAATATTTGCACACCAGCTTGCATGCATAGTGTGTATTCAATACCTGTTTAATGAATGAATGCATGAATAAATACATGATGAGGAACACTAAGGACAAGATTATACTAGAAATAGGTCGAGCACAGTAGCATGCAGAGGCTCATGCAGGTAATGCCAGTGCCTTGGAAGGGTGAGGCAGTCAATCACCTGAGGAAAAAAGTTCAAGAATAGCCTCACCAACATAGCGAAACCCTACCTCTACTAAAATTACAAAAATTAGCTAGGTGTTGGTGGTACATGCCTATAGTCCCAGCTACTCAGGAGGCTGAGGCAGGAAAACTGCCTGAACCTGGGAGGTGGAGGTTACAGTGAGCCGAGATCACGCCACTGAACTCCAGCCTAGGCAACAGAGCAAGACTCCATCTCAAAAAAAATAATAAGATTATACTGAAAATTAAAAAGACTAGAATAGTGAGGGGTGGAATCATATCAGTTACTGCTAGTCTGGAAGACTGACCAGTGGTTATAACCAGTCAGGAATACTATTTTAAAGTTTAAAAAGATGTCCTATATTTATTTATTTACAGGACCATACTTTTCTTTCAGACACAGTAAAATATCTTTCAACCTCTTTACTACATGCAACTGAATCTTCCTGGTGTAAATGCTACTCTCTGGTGTAGAAGCAGAAAGTTCTACCCAGAAAGTCAGATCTTGATATGTTCTGCTCTCAAGATATTTCTGAAGTTTAAACATTTTTCATTTTAAAATTTTTTAAATAGGTAATACATTGACACAAATATTTTAAGATAAAAAGTAAAGAGTCTTCACACCCCCATATCCCAACAACCCAACTTCCCCCATACACACAGACTCATACATACGCAATTACTGTCTAGATTCTGTGGCTTATTCTTTCAGAATTTCTTTATGGATATAGAAGCAAGTATGAAAATACACAATACTTAACAATATATCATGGGGGTCCTTCTATAATTAGTCCAGAGAGAGCCTTTAAAATCTTTTTAAAGCTTCATAATGTCCCATTATACCTCTATTGATGTACATTTAGTTCTTTCCACTTTTGCTGTAAATATAACAAATATTCTTGTTTACAATCATTTCAAAAATATATGTATTTATATGTGTAGGATAAATTCTCAGAAATGAAAATACTGGGTTTGGAATTTAGATAGCCTAACTCCAAAAGAGCAGAATAATTAAAAATTTTAAAAATGGATACAGTTCCAATATCTTCTGGATGTATTCTCTTGGTTTTTCTTCCCATTAAATGGATTAAGGAAAGAAAAGTATAATATGCAATGCGTTCCAACAAACACATAAATGAACTAGAACCATCAAAGCATGTGTGGTATCAAACATACTTCTCGGAGGTCTCTGTGATTATCTGTAAAATTTGTTTCACCTAATCTGAAATCACATGGTCCTGTGACATTAACAAACAATTTTAACACCCTGAGAAACCACATCATTACCACAAACTGTGTTATAGCTAATCACTTCTTATTTATTACTCTGGCATAATTTTTAGAAATGGGTAATTTAAAAATCATTCTAATGAAACTATTAAATGCCCTACGTGCTTGGATTCTCAAATACCTGGGCAGCTGAGTTAACTCGGGCTATTGGTTCTATTATAAGCCACGTACAACAGCAAAAAGATTGATTTATTTATTGATTGATTTAGAGGAAGTTACATAAACAAAAGTTCTTGAGAAATGTTGCTCAGATATGCTGAAGCTGCCAAATACTTTTCTAAAGACCTCATGCTGCTGCCCCTAGGAGAGAGTACATGTCCGACTTTAATACCCTGGCAAACCATGTCATCACCATACACTGTGTTACGGCTAATCATTTCTTATTTATTACCATGGCATAACTTTTTAAAATGGATGTTTAAGTCATTTTCAAAAAATACAACTGTTTTCATGCCTTTTTGTAGTTTTAGTAGAGACAGGTTTTCACCATGTTAGCCAGGATGGTCTAGATCTCCTGATCTCATGAGCTGCCCACCTCGGCATCCTAAAGTGCTGGGATTATAGGTGTAAGCCACTTCACCCAGAACATGGCTTGTTAACTTTTCTCTGGGGGTACATTAGTTTCCGGTGGCCTTGAGTGCTTAGACTCAAATATTTGGTCAGCTGAATTAACTCAGAATTGGGGTGGTGGGGAAAAGGGAAGTCTATGACAATATCCTAAGGATCTTTTTTGTTTTTGAGACAGAGTCTTGCTCTGTCACCCAGGCTGGAATGCAGTGGTGTGATCTTGGCTCACTACGACCTCGGCCTCCCCAGTTCAAGCAATTCTCCTGTCTCAGCCTCCTGAGTAGCTGGGATTACAGTCACCCATAACTACGCACAGCTCATTTTTGTATTTTTAGTAGAGACAAGGTTTCATCATGTTAGCCAAGTGATCCGCCCACCTTGGCCTCCCAAAGTGCTGGGATTACAGGCATGAGCCACTGTACCTGATCTCCTAAGGATGTTTGTATATGTGCTTAGAAAGACATCACCACAGTCCATGGACTAGAAACACTAAAATGTGCCTGAAGGAAGGCACGAAGGAGCAGGCGGCAAAGAAAGATCAGCAAGCTAAAGGGCAGTGGCACAGATAAACTGTGACTGCTTCTTGAAAAAACAAATACTGACAGAGACACAGGAAATTTTGGACTGGAATAGAAATATCCTCTATATTCATCTTTAAAAAAAAAAAAAAAAAAAAAAAACTCCACTCCATTTACTGCCTTCTCTGTAAATCTCATTCTCCCAGAGAGTTAGCTGAGAAAAAAATACTTTAATAAGATATGGCAGACTGCCCCTTAACATCCATTCAGGCTTCATTCTATTATAGTGTCCCTTCCTGAAGTGCAAAGGTTAAAAAGTAAAAATCCTACATTTTCTAAACTCTCTTGCATTTAGGATTCCAGATTTAATGTAGCATCAGCCAACTCAATGTACTTAGAAAAATTTGGAAGGCAGAAGTGAGATGGATTTGTTCTGTGTTTCTTTTTCTTTTTTTTGAGTCTCACTCTGTCACCTAGGCTGGAATGCAGTGGTACGATGTTGGCTCACTGCAACCTCTGCCTCCCAGGTTCAAGTGATTCTCCTGCCTCAGCCTCCCGAGTAGCTGGGACTACAGGTTTGTTTAACCACGCCCAGCTAATTTTTTGTAGTTTTAGTAGAGACAGAGTTTCACCATGTTAGCCAGGATGGTCTAGATCTCCTGATCTCATGAGCTGCCCACCTCAGCCTCCTAAAGTGCTGGGATTATAGGTGTAAGCCACTTCACCAAGACTGTTCCGCATTTCTAAAAGCAAACATGGCTTGTTAACTTTTCTCTGGGGATACATTAGTTTCCAATGGCTGGTATAACAAATTTGTCATAACTTTGCTGACTGTAAAAATTTATCCTTTCATTGTTCTAGAAAACAGAAATATAAAGTAAAGTTTCCTGGGTCAAATCAAGATGGTGGTAGGACTACAGCTGCCACTACCCAGGAGGCTCTAGGGGAAAGTCCATTATTTTCCTCTGCCAGCTTTCCTTGGATTTCCTAGCACTCCTTCGATTGTCATTGCATTACTCCAATCTTTGTCTCCATGGTCACACTGTCTTCTCCTCTTCTGTGTCAAACATCCCTCTGCCTATGTCACCCAGAGAGGATTACTTCAGGCCAAATGTTCACAACCAACCTGGCAGCAATAGCAAGATCCTATCTCTAAAATAAAATTTTTAAATTAGCCAGGCATGGGGTCATGTGCCTGTAATCCTAGCTACCCAGGAGGCTGAGGTAGGAGGATCACTTGAGCCCAGGAGTTCAAGATTACAGTGAGCTATGATCGTACCACTGCATTCCAGTCTGGGCAACAAAGCAAGACCCTGTCTCTTAAAAAAAAAAAAAAATTAAAAATAGCATGATTATCATATGATTCAGCAATTCTATTTCTTGGTATACATCCCAAGGAACTGAAACCAGGGTCTCAAAGAGATATTTGTAAACCCACATTCATTGAAGCTTTAATCATAATAGCCAAGAGGTAGAAGTAACCCAAGTGTCCATGATGAATGAATAAATGTGGTATTTGCATAAAATGGATTATCCAGACTTAAAAAAAGAAAGAAAGAAAATGCTAAAACATGCTTTGTAGCATGTGTAGCATCTTGTGATGGATGAACCTTGATGATATTATGCTAAGTGAAAGGAGCTAGTTGCAAAAAGACAAATATGACATTCTATTTATATGATGTACTTAGAATAGCCAAATTCATACAGACAGAAAGTAGAGGGTGCTTGAAGGTCCTGAGGAGAAGGGATAATAGTGAGTTGTTATGTAATGGGTACAGAGTTTCGGTACGTGAAGGTGAACAGTTCTGGAGATAGATTGTATGACAATATGAACTATACTGAACTGTACACTTAAAAATGGTAAGATGGTAAATTTTACATTTTATTTTAGCTGTGGGGTATTTTACCACAGCTAAAATTTTTGCAAAATAATTTCTTGTAACTGGTATATACAGTACATGCAGCTGTCTTGTCCAGAGACAGAAAACTACTCTGAAAAATAATTAGGAATAAATTTAACAAAGAAGTGTAAGACTTGTACACTGAGTAAACTATAAAACACTGTTGCAAGAAATGAACAAAGGTCTACATAAATGGAAAGATATCTCATGTTTATTAATAAGACTTACTATTGTTAATATAGCAATACTCCCCAAACTGCCTATCAAAATCCCAGTTGTCTTTTTTGCAGATATGGAAAACTGATCACAATTCATAAGGAAATGCAAGGAACCCAGAACAGCCATAATAATCTTGAAAAAGAACAAGCTGGGTGCTGTGGATCATGCCTATAACCTCAGCACTTTCGGAGGCCAAGGAGGGCGGATCATCCAAGGTCAGATCAGCCATGGCCAACATGGTGAAACCCTGTATCTATTAAAAATACAAAATTTAGCTGGGTGTGGTAGTGCAAGCCTGTAATCCCAGCTACTTGGGAGGCTAAGACAGGAGAATTGCTTGAACCCTGAAAGTGGAGGTTGTAGTGAGCTGAGATCACACCATTGTACTCTAGTCTGGGCAACAAGAGTGAAATTCTCCCTCAAAAAAAGAAAGAAAGAAAGAAAGCAAAAGAAGAGCAAAGTTGGAGAGCTTGGCTTTCTCTATTTTAAAACTAATTACAAAGCAATAGTTTTCAAGACAGTGTGGTCCTGGGTTAAGTATCAATTAATCTTTGACATACTGATCAATGGAACAGAATTAAGAGTTCAGAAATAAACACTTACATGTATGATCAACTGATTTTTGACAAGGCTGCTAAGACAATTCAATTGGAAAAAACACTATTTTTAACAAATGATACTGGAAAACTGGATATTAAACAAAAGAACAAAGTCATACTTCCTACCTCATGCCATATATAAAACTTAACTCAAAATGATCACAGACCTCAATATAAGAGCTATAAAACCCAAGAAGAAAATACAGCAGTAAACCTTTGTATTAGAAAACAGTTTCAGGTTGGGCGCAGTGGCTCACACCTGTAATCCTAGCACTTTGGGAGGCCAAGGCAGGCAGATTACCTAAGGTCAGGAGTTCGAGACCAGCCTGGCCAACATGGTAAAACCCCATCTCTGCAATGGTGTGATCTAGGCTCACCGCAAATTCTGCCTTGCAGGTTCAAGCAATTCTCCTTTCTCAGCCTCCCAAGTAACTGGGATTACAGGTACACACCACCACACTCAGCTAATTTTTTTGTATTTTAGTAGAGATAGGATTTTACCATGTTGCCCAGGCTGGTCTCAAACTCCTGACCTCGTGAGCTGCCTGCCTTGGACTTCCAAAGTGCTAGGATTACAGGTGTGAGCCGCCACACCCAGCCTATTTAACATTATTTTAAAGATGCTTGTTACTCAAATCATGGCTAGTTTCATGTTGGTTTTGAATGTATTTGAAATGTTTTCATGTATCTATGACTCTATTATAATATGTTTGTATCTGAAACCACTGAATGATTATTAGATGGATAATTGTTTTTTGCACATAAAATATGCAGAAAATGCTCAGTAATCAGAAAGCACATTATAAGAAAATGACACACAGTTAAGGCAGGAAGAGAGGGATACACATGGAATTGGAAATCTTAAAAAGAAAAGAAAAATTGCAGTTGTTGAAATAAAGACATGGAAATAATTCCATGATCTACATCCAATTCTGTCCAGTATTTCAGAAGATATTTATTTTTTAAACACTGGTCAATTCCAGCATATTTGCTTGGGACTTATATTTCACAGATGAAAAGTTCTTCAGTGAAAGCCAGGTCAGTCACAAGGTTTTGCTTTGTTCATCATTTTTAGGTTCTTTTTTTTTTGAGACGGAGTTTCGCTCGTTACCCAGGCTGGAGTGCAATGATGCGATTTCAGCTCACTGCAACTTCCGCCTCCTGGGTTCAGGCAATTCTCCTGCCTCAGCCTCCCGAGTAGCCGGGATTACAGACACGTGCCACCACGCCCAGCTAATTTTTTGTATTTTTAGTAGAGACGGGGTTTCATCATGTTGACCAGGATGGTTTCGATCTCTTGACCTCGTGATCCACCCGCCTTGGCCTCCCAAAGTGCTGGGATTACAGGCTTGAGCCACCACACCAGGCAGTAATGTAAAATTTTAAGAACCCCAACATAAAAAAGGATTACTTTTTGAGAGGAGAGGAGCAAGGTAGGTAGGTAGGTAGATACAGGATAGTGGCTGGCATTCAGAAGTGCAGAGCTAGCAAAACTTCAGAATGAAAACTATCTGATGAACAAAAAATAATGTATAAATAGAATCTTGTTACTATTGCATTAAAGAATTACTATTTTCCTAAATAATGCAAACCTTTATTTTTCTTGTCCTGTGCCTTCTACACTAATATTTTTTTAATTATTTATTTTTGTGGGTATATAATAGGTATACTTATTTATAGGGTACATGAGATGTTACACTAGTAATTTTTAAAAGTATAAAAATGTGGCCGGGCGCAATGGATAACGCCTGCAATCCTAGCACTTTGGAAGGTTGAGGCAGGTAGATCACCTGAGGTCAGGAGTTCGAGACTAGCTTGGCCAACATGGTGAAACCCCATCTCTACTAAAAATACAAAAAAAAAAAAAAAAAAAAAAAAAAAAAGAAATTTGCCGGGTATGGTAGCAGGGGCCTGTAATCCCAGCTACTTGAGAGGCTGAGGCAGGAGAATTGCTTGAGCCTGGGAGGCGGAGGTTGCAGTGAGCCAAGTTCGCACCACTGTACTCCAGCCTGGGTGACAGAGTGAGACTTTGTCTCAAAAAAAAGGTATAAAAATGTAATATACATTGTTTTGCTTCCTGAATGAAGACTTTCAGGCCTTCTCATTTAAGTGAAATATTACTATACATTGACAATAGCTAATAACCCACCCATGGCCCTATGCCAACAACTGCTTCTTTGAATACAGGCTTTGTTTTCTAGATTGGTGGGAGATAAAGACAAATGCTGCCAGACTCTGGAAATATAAATTTCTAATCTTAAGAACACAGAATGAATTAGAATGTGATTTCTTTTTCTTTTTTACTGTTTTTGAGACAGAGTCTCACTCTGTTGCCCAGGCTGGAGTGCAGTGGCACAATCTTGGCTCACTGCAACTTCTGCCTCCCAGGTTCAAGCGATTCTTCTGCCTCAGCTTCCTGAGTAGCTGGGACTACAGTTGTGTGTCACCATGCCTGGCTAATTTTTGTATTTTTAGTAGAGACGTAGTTTGACCATATTGGTCAGGCTGGTCTCCAACTCCTGACCTTGTGATCCACCAGCCTCAGCCTCCCAAAGTGCTGGGATTACAGGCATGAGCCACTGAGCCTAGCCAAGAATGTGATTTTTTAAAGCCAGCTTCAGATGCAATTCAATCTTCATTTCTCATCAAGGATCCAACTATTAATTTAACAAATAATATAAAGAAAAGGATCCCACATCTATATACTGACTTTCACCATCAACACTGAATAGAATGAATTAGATTGATGTAATTTAAAAAAGCACACACAAAATTGTGCCTGCTTTGCTGTTGACTTAACTATCCTGTTTACTTTAGAGTTAGGGAGGTTAATTATACCAATTCCAGAAATCTTATCAAGAAATTGTTCTAAAATAAGTTTCTAAACTTTGTAATAATTATACAATTCTTTCAAACTCTAAAATTTATAAACAAAAGAAGATGAATTAAGGGTGTAAGAAAGTAAAAGAATACTATAGATATAAACTTACTTAAAGACTGGTTTTCTTTTTAAACAGAGTAGATAACTTGAAAGACTCAGGCTGGGTGTGGTTTGTTATTTAATATTTTTTTCAAATCATCTCATTTAAAAAATATGTTTTTTTGTTTTTTTTTTTTTGAGACGGAGTTTCGCTCTGTCACCCAGGCTGGAGTACAGTGGCTCAGTGTTGGCTCACTGCAAACCTCCACCTCGTGGGTTCAAGTGTTTCTCCTACCTCAGTCTCCTGAGTAGTTGGGATTACAGGTACCTGCCATCACACCTGGCTAATTTTTGTATTTTTGTAGAGGCAAGGTTTCACCATGTTGGTCAGACTGGTTTCAAACCCCTGACCTCAGGTGATCTGCCTGCCTTGGCCTCCCAAAGTGCTGAGATTGCAGGCATGAGCCACCATGCCCAGCCAAAAATATGTATTTTAAAGAGAAACATCTCATCATTACTATAAATGAAAAGCCTTGTAATTATAGTCACTGTGGAGACAAAGGGGCATTATAAAAGTCCCTCTCACAAAGAACTTCAGAGTCTATTAGAAAAGACAGACAAAAAGACAATTACTACATACATATTAATTCAGATATGATGCTTGCAACTGATCTGCAAGAAGTTCAGAAAACATAATGAAGTATATTATTATCTATTTGGGGAAGAATGATAGAGCAAATACAGCAAAATATTAACAATTGGTGAATGTGAGTAAAGTGTAATATGGGAGTTCTTTGTACTATTTTTGTAACTTCTTAAATAACTTTGAAATAATTTCAAATTTAAAAGTTTTAACACATTCTCTGTTGGGGGCCCAAAATATGAACACTTGACACTTATTGTCTACCAATATAATGATAAGTAAAAACTTAAAGGAAGATAAACTGTAAGTCATCTCTGTCAGAGAAACACAGCTACTTCAATTACCATTCTACTCATTAGGCTGGTTTTTACTAAACTACCTAAATGTTAAGAAAATATCTTTAAAAAGTTTATGGAAGTGATAGCACTATTAAAATATAGAATACTAGGCAGGCCGGAAAAGGTGGCTCATGCCTGTAATCCCAGCACTTTGGAAGGCCAAGGAGGGTGGATCACCTGAGGTCAGGAGTTGAAGACCAGCATGACCAACATGGCAAAACTCCATCTCTACTAAATATGCAAAAATTAGCTGTGTGTGGTGGCATCCACCTATAATCCCAGCTACTTGAGAGGCTGAGACACAAGATTCACTTGAACCCAGGAGGCAGAGGTTGCAGTGAGCCAAGATTGCACCACTGCACTCCAGCCTGGGCAACAAAGTAAGATTATATCTCAAACAAACAAACAAACAAACAAAAAGCTATGCAAAAGCAAGGCTTCATCAGCCATCACAAAAATGTGGTATGTGAAGTATAGAGATAATTTTTCAGTGAACACTCTTCTCACAAGATTTAATAATGAACATTTTATTTTAATATTTTAATTAAGGTATAGTTTACATACCATAAAATGAACACGTAACTTTATTGAATGATATTATAAGTGTTTCATTAGGAAGTGCCAAGGTTCACAGATTTTGTAATAAACAAAAAACATCTTATAATACATATTAAATTACTATTTAAAATATAACTTCTCTTACCTCTATGATACCAGCAGAAACTGACAAAGGGAGGAAAAGACTGATTATAGATTATTTTAAATCATTTTTCTCAAAACCAGGATTACAGGTGTGAGCCACCATGCCTAGCCATCCACTTCTTTCTTTGCTAGGTTTGCACAAGTTTTTAGTTATTTTATTTTATTTATTTTGAGACTTATTTAGACATGGTGTCTCACTCTGTTGCCTAGGCTGAAGTGCAATGGTGTGATCTCTGCTCACTACAACCTCCACCTCCCAGGTTCCAGTGTTCTCATGCCTCAGTCTCCGGAGTAGCTGGGATTACAAGCAGCCACCATCAAGCCCAGTTAATTTTTTGTATTTTTAGTAGAGATGGGGTTTCTCCATGTTAGTCAGGCTGTCTCAAACTCCTAACCTCAAGTGATCTACCCAACTTGGCCTCCCAAAGTGCTGGATTACAGGCGTGAGCCACCATGCCTGGCCAGTTTTTAGTAATTTAAAAATGTGTTTTTGATAAAAATTTTTATGTTAAATATTCAGTAACTGGAATTTTTCATTAAAAAAATTTTTTTGGAGACAGGTTCTCACCCTGTACTCTAAGCTGGAGTGCAGTGGCACAATCTCGGCCATTAGCAACTTCTACCTCCCAGGCTCAAGCGATCCTCCCCATCTCAACCACCCAAGTAGCTGGGATCACAGGTGCATGCCACTGTGCCTGGCTAATTTTTGTATTTTTAGTAGAGATAGGGTTTCACCATGTTGCCCAGACTGGTTTCAAACTGCTAGGCTCAAGTGATCCACCTGCCTTTGCCTCCCAAAATGCTGGGATTACAAGCATGAGCCACCATGCCCTGCATTAAGGAAAAAGTATAAAGGAGAAAAAAACTCACCATCACCAAACTTTCTATTTATTATTATATGGCCATGAGCAAAAGTTCTGTTTCTGAATTTTATAATTTTTTTTTTTGAGAAGGAGTTTTCCTCTCCTCTCATTGCTCAGGCTGGAGTGCAACAGCGCAATCTTGGCTCACCAGAACCTCCGCCTCCTGGATTCAAGAGATTCTCCTGCCTCAGCCTCCCAAGTAGCTGGGATTACAGGCCTGCACCACCACGCCCAACTAATTTTGTATTTTTAGTAGAGATGGGGTTTCCCCATGTTGGTCAGGCTGGTCTTAAACTCCTGACCTCAGGTGATCCACTGACCTCAGCCTCCCAAAGTGCTGGGATTAAGGGAGTAAGCCACCATGCCTGTCTTATATTTTAATTTCTTTCTTTAAATTTCAAAAATAAAACTATTTTTCTTTTTGTTAAACACCTAGCATTTGTGGACTAAATCTCTGACAGTCCATTTAACAGTAGTTATTTTTCTTGAGGTTAATGCAAAAGCCAAAATTGATCTTGTTTGCCAACTTTAACTTCACTCAATTTTTTTGTTTGAAGAACAAAAAATATAAACTGTGTTAATGCTTCCAAATTAGAGCACTTTACTTAAACACTTCCCTTTTTTATTGCAATAGCATTACTGATTCCTGGTAGGCAATAATCCTAACTTTGGGGTCATAGTAAACTAAACTAAGACCTAGGTAACAATCTGAAATGCAATGCAGCTGTAAAGATCTTTGAGGATAATGTATGAACAAATTCACTTACCCTCTTTCTTTTTCTGAGACGGAGTCTCTGTCACCCAGGCTGGAGTGCAGTAAGCAATCTCAGCTCACTGCAATCTCCACCTACTAGGTTCAGGCGATTCTTCTGCCACAGCCTCCCAGGTGGCTGGGATTACAGGTGTTTACCACCATGCCTGACTAATTTTTCTATTTTTAGTAGAAACAGGGTTTCACCATGTTGGCCAAGCTAGTGTCGAACTCCTGACCTCAGGTGATCCATCCACCTTGGCCTCCCAAAGTAATGGGATTATAGGCATGAGCACCTGGCCACTTTCCCTCTTTTATTTAGCTAGAGGTACAAGTGAAAATTAGAGACCTTGTTTTATTTGTGGAAAATAAATGTATCCAATACAATCTCCAAACAGAAGCTAATGGCCTTCAGTAGTTAGAAACTATGGTTATAAAGAAAATTTCCTATTGCTTTCAGTTTAGTGCTTCATCAACACATCAAAGGAAATAATCCAAAACTGATGATCCCAGAGTACAGTCTGATAAAATCTGCTGACTAAGAAAATTCTTGAGATGTGCTATATTTTAAATTTTTAAACTAAGAATTGTTTAAATTTTTATTTGGAAATAATTTATAACTTCCACAACAGTTGCAAGAATGGTACAAAGAATACACCATATTCTTTCACCCAGATTCACCTACTAATACCATTTTATTCTGTTTGCTTTTGTTCTCTCTTTACACACATACACACACACACACACACACACACACACGTTTTTTGAACCATTACACAGTATAATCATGGTACTTTATTCTTAAACACTTCTTAGATTTATTTCCTAAGAATATGGTTATTCTCTGATAAAACCACAGTATTGTTAATAGCTTCAGCACATTTAACATTGAAACATTGTTGTCTAGTCATCCATTTTGTCAATTGGCTCAACAATGTCTTTTATCTCATTGTTCTCATTCAGTCTAAGACAGGCACTGCCTAGTTGTCCAGTCTTTTTAGCTTCCTTTGACCTAGACCTGTTCCACATTCTGTCTTACATGACACATTTTTGAAGAATATGATCCCCCTCCTTGTAACAGAACATTCCTAATTTGGGGTTTGTGTGATGCTACCTCATGACTGAATTCAGGTTATGCATTCTTAACTGGAATATAGTTCTAAATTAGTTATGTGGCCTTCTCCAGGTATAATGGATTTCCATATGCCCTTCATTAATGATGTTAATTTTTATTACCTGGTCAAGGTGTCCATTTTTCCCATTTTATAATTACTTATTTTTCCCTTGAGATATGTGGGAGGCATGCAAATATCCTGGCTCCTCATTGAAACTGCCCCTAGATTTAGGATCCTTTGATGATTCTTGCCTGATCCAATCCTTAACACAATGGTTGAAGAATAATAAGCTGCCAACTCCAGCATTCCTACATTTACCAGTTGGCACTTGACATTCTATGCATGATTCATTTTTCTTACAGTAGTTCACAATTCATTAATGTACTTAATTGTTTTAGCACTCAAAATGACCCAGATTTAGTCAGTGGGAGTTCCTTCCAGCTGGCTCCTCTGTCCTATGACAAGTCTCCATCATATTTTTAGGAACTTCTTTCCTTCCTTTCTTTGCCTTTTGTTTTTGAGACAGGGTCTCACTCGTTTGCCCAGGCTGGAGTATAGTGGCCTGATCACAGCTCATTGCAGCCTTGACTTCCCAAGTTCAAGTGATCCTCCCACCTCAACCTCCCAAGTAGGTGGGACTACAGACATGTGCCACATCTGGCTACTTTTTAATTTTTTTTGAGATGGGGTCTATGTTGCCCAGGCTAGTCTCAAACTCCTAGGCTCAAGCAATCCTCTTGCCTTGGTCTCCCAAAGTGCTGGGATTACAGGCTCTTTCCTTACTTTCCTACAAAAATTTTAAAACATTATAAGATGTCCCAGGTTTATCTTACACCTATCCTGCTCCAGTCTTGGAATAAATCATTTTTCCAAGAAGTCTTGGTTCCTTTTTAGTGGAGAACGGTATTAGAGACTAAGATGTGGGCATTATGCATGGTCACTGCTACCGGGGTACTACTGTTTCTTATCCTTTTCAATGGACAGAGATGTAAAATACATACATTTGCCATGTGTGTATAAATACATTTATATATTTATTTATATACACACATGTATAGAGCCACATATACATGCATGTAACACATACATACGCATATTTTTTTAAGTATAAGTCCATACTGATACCTCGAATTGCAATCTATTTGCATGGGTTTTTCTTCTGTCTCCCCATTTGATAATTGTATATTCCTATTTCTTCTGTAAGAACCCTGACATACAAGTACATCAACTCATTTTCTTTTTTTTTTTTTTTTGAGATGAAGTCTTGCTCTGTCACCAGACTGGAGTACAGTGGCACGATCTCAGCTCACTGCAACCTCCACTTCACAGGTTCAAGAGATTCTCCTGCCTCAGCCTCCTGAGTAGCTGGGATTACAGGCGCAGCTAATTTTTGTATTTTTTGTAGAGACAGGGTTTCACCATGTTGGCCGGGATGATAGTCACGATCTCTTGACCTTTTGATCTGCCCACCTCAGCCTCCCAAAGTGCTGAGATTACAGTTCAGGCTGAGCTCGACTTGAACTCATTTTCTTAATCCTATAATCCATCTACAATGGTTTCACTACTTTACCCACACTACTAGTTCAGTATTTGTTTGTAATTCTCCCTCATCCTTTATATTGCATCTTGCACAAAAGAGTATATATAGTCAAATACTGTGTTTATAAACTAATCACTTGGATTAGTTCTTTTTTCTTTAGTTTTTTTTCCTTATCTTTCAATAATTTTGTTATCAGTGTAGTTATTGTAGTAATATGAAAAATGATTGGGTTCATTTATTTCAATTTGGTTACAGCTTGAGGTATTTTTCTCCTTTCCATTCTTAGGTACTTAATTTTTTTGCTTATGTAGAATATTTACACAATACCAATAGTAAAAATTACATACAAAAAGGTACACTCAGAGAACTGTTATTCCTTTTTTTTTTATTTTTATTTTTTGATGGAGTCCCTTTCTCTCTCACCAGGCTAGAGTGTAGTGGCATGACCTCGGCTCACTGCAATCTCCACCTCCTAGTTTCAAGCAATTCTCCTGCCTCAGCCTCCCAAGTAGCTGGGACTACAGGTGCATACCACCACACCCAGCTAATTTTTGTATTTTCAGTAGAGACAGGGTTTCACCATGTTGGCCAGGATGGTATTGATCTCTTGACCTCGTGATCCGCCCACCTTGGCCTCCCAAAATGCTAGGATTACAGGTGTGAGCCACTATACCCCATCATCACTCCTTTCCATATCCTTTCTGTCCCATTCCTTGGATCCCTTATAAGTAAGCAAGTTCATTATTTTCTAATTTATTCTTTCTTTCTTTTTTTTTTTTTTTTTTTATTTAAAAGATTTTATTTTATTTATTTATTTTTTATTGAGATGGAGTTTTGCTCGTTACCCAGGCTGGAGTGCAATGGTGCAATCTCGGCTCACAGCAATCTCCGCCTCCAGGGTTCAAGCAATTCTCCTGCCTCAGCTTCCTGAGTAGCTGGGATTACAGGCACGTGCCACCGTGCCCAGCTAATCTTTGTTTCTTTTTGTAAAGATAAGTCAAGAGTAGATATGCTTTTTTATTTTCCTTCCAGTTTTATAAAAGAGAGCCTATTATACATACTTTTTGTATCTAATATTACCTGTGAAAATCACTAGGTTAGTACATAGAGATCTTATTTTTTTTTTACAGCTGTATAGTTGACACTCCATTCATGTATGTACCACAGTATATTTCAACTAATATCCTATTCTTGAACATTCACTTCCTAATATTGTTCAGTTAAAAATAATACTGCAGGCCAGGCATGCTGGCTCATGCCTGTAATCCCAACACTTTGGGAGGCTAAGGTGGGTGGATTATGAGGTCAAGAGATCAAGACCATCCTGGCCAACATGGTGAAACCCCATCTCTACTAAAAATACAAAAATTAGCTGGGCATGGTGGTGCATGCTTGTAATCCCAGCTACTTGGTAGGCTGAAGCAGGAGAATTGCTTGAGCCAGGGAGTCGGAGGTTGTAGTGAATCGAGATCACGCCATTGCACTTCAGCCTGGGCAACAAAAGCAAAGCTCCATCTCAAAAAAATACTACAATAAGCAACTTGATGTCTATGTATATTCATAATATTGAAGGTGTATTTCCAGATAAAGTCCTAGAAATGTGAAAAGAGTAAGCACACATGTAGTTTAGTCTTAACCAAATTTCCCTCCATATAGGCTGGAAACTACTATATTTTATACTATTTTGAGACAGAGTCTTGCTCTGTCACCTAGGATAGAGGGCAGTGGAACAATCGTTGCAGCCTCAACTTCCCAGGCTCAAGCAATCCTCCAACCTCAGCCTCCCAAATAGCTGGAACTAAACATGAGCGCCACTACGTCTGGCTAATTTATTTATTGTGCTGATAGAGATGGGGTCTCACTATCTTGCCCAAGGTGGTCTTGAATTCCTGGGCTCAAGAGATCCTCCTGATCTGGCCTCCTAAAATGCTGAGATTACAGGCATGAGCCACCATGCGTAGCCAGTACTCTATTTTACCAAAGTTATGTAGATGCCTTGGAAGTCCTGGTGCATCTCTTTTGGATTTCAGGTGTTTGCTAGATGTAATCTTATGATGCTCTCCCTCTCACTCCTACTAACCTTAATTTTTTTTTTTTTTTTTTTTTTTTTTTTTTGAGTTTCACTCTTATTGCCCAGGCTGGAGTGCAATGGTGCAATCTCAGCTGACTGTAACCTCTGCATCCTGGGCTCAAGCAATTCTCCTGACTCAGCTTCCCAAGTAGCTGGGATTACAAGCACCTGCCACCATGCCTAGCTAACTTTTTTCTACTTTTAGTATTGATGCAGTTTCACCATGTTGGCCAGGCTGGTCTCAAACTTCTGACCTCAGGTGATCCATCTGCTGTGGCCTCTCAAAATGCTGGGATTACAGGCATGAGCCACCACACCTGGCCTCAATCTTGTATGTTTTTTATGTTTGTTTTATATCTTGCAAATTTTTGGAGAAAGGAAATACAAAGAAAAGTTAGTTACTTTACTTACTAAGTGGTGTTGTGTCAGGAGGTGGAAAATTCTCAGTAAAGTTGACATTACATAAATCTGTGCTACAACAGCAGAAACGGTATGTTCCATTTTGAATTGAGGGAGGAGTGGTAGTTACTACACATTCTTCATAGTGACACTCTTGGGGATCTCCAATGTGAGACCAACATCCTATAAATCAATATTAATAGAAAGAAGTTAGTAGACAATATGAGAAAGAAATATAAAAGAAAAACAGCAAACTAAGAAGTAATTTCAATAAATGTGAGAGTACATATAAGCTAGGAAACAGTTTTGCAAATCAACAGGAAACATTTTTAAGAAACAGAAAAATGGTAAAGGATACAAAAGACATTTCATGGGAAGAAAAAGGCCACCAACAAAATGTTTAACTGCATGATTAATCTAAGAATTATTAAAGCAAGAGTAAGGTTTCATTTCTGTCTATACCAAGTAAATTGTTCTAGGTTTAAAAAATAGTATGGCTGGGTACAGTGGCTCACACCTAGAATTCCAGCACTTTGGGAAGCCAAAGCAGGAGGATCACTTAAGCCCAGGAATTTGAGACCAGCCTGGGCAACATAGGAATACCATATCTCTACAAACATTTAAAAATTAGCTGGGCATGGTGGTGCTTGCCTGTGGTCCTACCAACTTGGGAGGATTGCCTGAGCCCAAGAGGTCAAGGTTTCAGTGAGCCATGAATGTGCCACTGCATTCTATCCTGAGCAACAGAGTGCCACTGTTCAAAAATAAAATAACAAATACATAAATAATATACATAAGAAAAAGGATTCAGTAACACAGACACCTTCATACAGTGTTGGAGGGAATATAAATGAATAGTACTTTTAGAAAGCCACATGGAAATTTTTATACAATTTTTAAAATATTCATATATTTTATAACCTAATAATTCTACATCAAGGGATCTCTTTCAAGGAAAACAATCACATACAATCAAAGAATTATATTCAAAGTTGTTCACTGAACAACTGTGTTTCACTATGCATTACAGTGAAAACATGAAAATAACATAATGTCTACCAATAGAATAATCTGTAAGTAAACTGTGATACATGTGTACAATCAATCATATGTTGTGCAAAAGTTAAATAGGTTTTCAGAGATTCTTTAATGACATGAAACAAATGCTTATAATTAAGGTGGAAAAAATGGATATGAAATTGTTTATACAATACATTCCTAATTTTTTAAAAAAGTACACGCACATAGTAACATAAAGGTGCATAAAAAATACACCTGAAGAAGACAAACTAATACAGTAAAAATATATATATTTTTTGAGATGGAGTCTTGCTCACTCGCCAGCTTGGAGTGCAGTGGTGCAATCTCAGCTCACTGCAACCTCTGCCTCCAGGTTCAAGCAATTCTTCCATCTCAGCCTCCTGAGTAGCTGGGTTTACAGGCGCATGCTACCACGTCCAGCTAATTTTTGTATTTTTAGTAGAGACGGGGTTTCATTATGTTGTCCAGGATGGTCTCTATCTCTTGACCTCGTGATCTGTCCACCTCAGCCTCCCAAAGTGCTGGGATTACAGGTGTGAGCCACCGTACCCGGCCGGTAAAAATATTTTTAAAAGAGTATATTATTGTAGCTTTCGTTTTCTTTATAGTTTTCTATATATTCCACAATTCATAGAATGGGTATGTACAACATTTTAAGAAGAAAACTGTTTTTAAAATAATCTAAAAATAAATAGCCTTTCATAAATTTGGGCCTTGTGGATATATATATAAATATGCACTTTTGTTTGTTTGTTTTGAGATGGAGTCTCACTCTGCTGCCCAAGCCGGAGTGCAGTACTCCCATCTCAGATCACTGCAACTTCTGCCTTCCAGGTTCAGTGATTCTGCTGCCTCAGCCGCCCGAGTAGCTGGGACCACAGGTGCACTAATTTTTGTATTTAGCAGAGACAAGGTTTCACCATGTTAGCCAGTGCCCGCCTCTGCCTCCCAAGGTGCTGGGATTACAGGCATGAGCCACTGTGTCTGGCCTTATATATACACTTTTAAATTCACTGTTTTTCTGAAAAGGATTTTAACGTACTCCCATGTCCATTGTAGATGAATATCAATTGTATAAAATACAAAGTCATCTTAGGTAAGGAAAGTATCACTTGCCTTGTTTTACAAGATTGATGTCTCCTTTTGATTTCTCCCAAAGGCCATAGCAGGTGCTACCTTTTGAGCATAATATCGTTCCATTTTCATGAGAGATTCGACTCTCACCTATCCCAAGGTCTTGCTGATATGGATCTTTAAATGCACATAGCCGTTCTTGATTCTGTGAAGCTAAAATAAAGGAAATTAAGAAATGACAAATTATTATTTTTTTTTTTGAGACGGAGTTTCGCTCTTGTTACCCAGGCTGGAGTGCAATGGCGCGATCTCAGCTCACTGCAACCTCTGCCTCCCGGGTTCAGGCAATTCTCCTGCCTCAGCCTCCCGAGTAGCTGGGATTACAGGCACGCACCACCATGCCCAGCTAATTTTGTTTGTATTTTTAGTAGAGACAGGGCTTCACCACGTTGACCAGGATGGTCTTGATCTCTTGACCTCGTGATCCGCCCGCCTCGGCCTCCCAAAGTGCTGGGATTACAGGCGTGAGCCACCGCGCCCAGCCTTTGCCCACTTTTTAATGGGGTTGTTTTCTTCTTGTAAATTTGTTTAAGTTCCTTATAGAGGCTGGATATTACACCTTTGTCAGATGCATAGTTTGCAAAACTTTACTCCCATTCTGTAGGTTGTCTGTTTACCCTGTTAATAGTTCATTTTGCCATGCAGAAAGCTCTTGTTTAATTCTATCCCATTTGTCAATTTTTGCTTTTGTTGCAATTGCTTCTGGTGTCATCATAAAACCTTTGCCTGTTCCTATGTCCAGAATGGTATTGCCTAGGTTGTCTTCCAGAGTTTGCATCATTTTGGGGCCATTATCCTTAGCAAACTAATAGGAAAAGAAAATCAAATACCACATGTTCTCACTTATAAAAGGGAGCTAAATGATGATAACACATGGACCATAAAGGGGAACCCCCTACACTGGGGCCACCAAAGGGTGGGAGGGGGAATAGGATCAGGAAAAATAACTAATGCATACTAGGCTTAATATCTGGGTAACAAAATAATCTGTACAACAAACACCCATGACACAAGTTTACCTATATAATAGAAACCTGCACATGTACCCCTGAACTTAAAAGTTAAATTTAAAGAAAATTCTTAATAAGGTTCCATTTCTCATGATTTATAATTTCTATTATTTTTATTTAACAGCTATACAGCTACACTAATTAATCATTTTTGCCAAAGTTGTAAAAAATTACAGATATTTGCCAAACAACTAAAATTAAGTAAAAAGAGGAGTGTGAGGGTTGTGGAAGTGATTTGCCAAGTAGCTGACAAAAAGTTTGCTAAGCAAGTATCCAAAAAACTATAACCTTAGAAGAGAGTCCACTCAATCAAAAAGGAAGGCTTAAAGGAGAAAAATAAAAAGGGTTTTGAGCAAAGAGACAGTATAAAAACAACTTTATATTTGGCAGCAAGACATCTTACTTTCTCACTCCAACATTTTGAGAACAGCCTACACTTTTTCTATCTTCAAGATATTGCATGCAAGGTAAGTCCATAAATGTAAAACTCTAGAAACTGTGGACAATTATGAAGAACTTTTTTGCAAATTAACTCTATAAAAACTTTTTAGAACCTAGTGATAACCAGTTTGTACCCAGGGAAGATTTGGCAGGCATACAAATTGTAATTATAAATAAGTCTGCTTATAGGCAGAAACAAGTTGAAGCCCCAAATGTATAAGAAAATTGGTTTAGAGAATGCAAAAAATATACATGTCAAATAAAAAGAAAGCCAGCTTTTTGAATAAAGATAAATGTGCACATGAAAGAAACAATCACCACTGGTTATCATCTACTCTAAACATCTGTTAAACTCAGAGATACAGAAAGGATAAAGAGGAAAATCTGAAAGAATAGAGCAGAGGCCAAATTCTAACTGAGCACACTAACAGAGATAGAATAAAGAGCATTAAGCATTCAATTTAAAAAAATTTTTTTTTTTTTTTTTTGAGACAGGGTCTTACTCCATCGCCCAGTGTGAGTACAATGGCACAACCTTGGCTCACTGCAACCTCCACCTCCGGGCTCAAGTGATTCTTCCACCTCAGTCTCCTGAGTAGCTGGGACCACAGGTATATGCCATCAAGCCTGGCTAATTTTTATAATTTTGTAGACACAGGGTCTCACTATGTTGCCCAGGCTGGTCACAGACTCCTGGACTCAAGCAATCCTCTTGCTTTGGCCTCCCAAAGTGTTGGGATTGCAGGCAACTCTGTCCAGCTCAAAATGTTTAAAAATTAGTATTACAGATACGGCAAATAAATGCTTTAAACAGAAAGTATCATTATGGCTGGGTGCAGTGGCCCACGCCCCTAATCCCAGCACTTTGAGAGGCTGAGGTGGGCAGATCACCTAAGGTCAGGAGTTCGAGACCAGCCTGACCAACTTGAAGAAACCCTGTCTCTACTAAAAACAATAAATTAGCCAGGAGTGGCGGCACATGCCTGTAATCCCAGCTACTAGGGAGGCTGAAGCAGGAGAATCACTTGAATCCAGGAGGCAGAGGTTGCGGTGAGCCGAGATGATGCCATTGTACTCCAGCATGGGCAACAAGAGCAAAATTCCATCTCAAAAAAATAATAAGAAGGTATCCTTATACAGAATTGTCCATGTGTTACCATATCATCTAAACTGAAGGTATCAGTCATTTACTTCAAAAACAAGTCAAGGCCAGGAGCTCACGTCTATAATCTCACCACTTTAGGAAGCTGAGGCAGGTAGATCACCTGAGGTCAAGAGTTCAAGACCAGCCTGGAGAAACCTTGTCTCTACTAAAAACTATAAAAATTAGCTGGGTGTGGTGGCAGGTGCCTGTAATGTCAGCTACTTGGGAGGCTGAGGCAGGAGAATTGCTTGAACATGGGAGGTAGAGGTAGCAGTGAGCCGAGCTCTGCACTCCAGCCTTGGTGACAGAGCAAAACTCCATCTCAAAAAAAAAACACAAAATACAAAAAAGTCAGATTTGCAACCTATGTCTTGTCCTTTGAGTAGAACTGTCTCATTCTATTATTTGATGGTGGGGGAAAAATTGAAAGTATGACACAGGAAAATTAGCATAGGTTTCCAAAAACTTTAATGGCTTATCTATAGTACTTTATCTCTCTATCTCTTCCTCTGTATATAACCTTGCTACGAATAATATAACATATTATTGCTTGCTAAAAATAATGTATCTTTATGTCACTTTTCTGTTTCTTCCATTCTAAAAAAAGTCATTGTAAGTATATATTGATGAAGAAATCACTGGAAACAGATAATAGTCATGAAAAACTATTATGTCATTTTCATGATAAATGAGTATAGCTCATTTATCATGAACATAAGGCTGGGCGCGGTGGCTCATGCCTATACTTTGGAGGGCCAATGCAGGTGGATCACGAGGTCAGGAGATTGAGACCAGCCTGGCCAACACAGTGAAACCTCGTCTCTGCTAAAAATAAAAAAATTAGCTGGGCATGGTGGCACATGCCTGTAGTCCCAGCTACTCAGGAGGCTGAGGCAGGAGAATTGCTTGAACCCGGGAGGCAGAGGTTGTAGTGAGCTGAGATCCCATCATTGTACTCCAGCCTGGTGACAGAGCGAAACTCTGTCTCAAAAAAAAAAAAAAGAAAGAAAGAAAAGTGCTGTATAGGCTGGGCACGGCGGCTCACACCTGCAATCCCAGCACTTTGGGAGGCCGAAGCAGGTAGATCACCTGAGGTCAGAAGCTTGAGACCAGCCTGATCAATATGGTTAAACCCCATCTCTACTAAAAACACAAAAATTAGCTGGGTGTGGTGGCAGGCGCCTGTAGTCTCAGCTAGTCCAGAGGCTGAGGCAGGAGAATTGCTTGTACCCAGGAGAGGGACGTTGCAGTGAGCCGAGATCACGCCACTGCCCTCCAGCCTAGGTGACAGAGTGAGACACCCTCTTTAAAAAAATAAAAAGGAAAGTGCTATATAAATAGAACCAATAATAGTGTCCTTTGTGATGAGATCTGAAACAAGTAATTAGCAATACTACTCTAATTTTAAAATAAAAAGTACACAAAAGAACATACCATGAAAATAATACAGCAAATAGTTGGGCCCAAAAACACTTAAAAATAAAACTAACCATTTTGGGCCAAAAATCACTTTAAAATAAAACTAATCATTCCCTACAAACAAAAAACTCTCCATTTCTAAATGGAGTTAACTATAATAGATGTTTACTGAGAAAAGCAGATTTCAAGTAAGACACAATCACAGCATTGTTTCTCACTCAAAATAGCACTAACCTCTTTCATGTGATCAATAACTATCACGACAGGCTTCCATATATGACATCAGCACTATTCAATATAATTTTCTGTGAAAATGGAAATATTCTATAATCTACATTGTCCAATACAGTAGCCAGTAGTTGTATTTTTTTGGATGGAGATGGGGTCTGGCTATGTTGCCCAGGCTGGTCTCAATCTCTTGGGCTCAATCAATCCTCCTGCCTTGGCCTCCCAAAGCGCTAGGATTAAGGTGTGAACCATCACTCAGTCATCTTATTCGGATATTATGCACTTGAAATACGACTAGTGACTAAGGAACTGAATTTTTAATATTGTTTTAATTTTAATTAATTGAAATGTAAATTTAAATTGCAAGTGCTATAAGACTGAATTGTGTTTCCCTCAAATTCACATATTGAAACCTAACCCACAATGTGATGTTATTTGGAGATGAAGCCTCTGGAAGTAATTAGGTTTCAAGAACGTCATGAGATAGGATTAGTACCCTGTAAGAATAGACACCGTAGAGCTTGCTTCCTCTCTCTATGTTATGTGAGGACACAGAGAGAAGGTGGCCATCTGCAAGCCAGGAATAGAGCCCTTGCCAGGGATCCAAATCATCTAGCACCTTGATCTTGGACTTCCCAGCTTCCAGAGCTGTGAAAAAATAAATTGCTGCTGTTTCAAGACATCGAGTCTATTGTATTTTGTTGTGGCAGTCCAAGCCAACTAATATAACCACGTGTTTCTAGTGCTATTTTAGATAGCACAGCTCTATATAGTTTATATAAATATATTAGACACTGTATATAAACAAAATAGTCAAATTGTAATCATGTTTTGGTTTTGTCCATTAAAACACAACTGTAAATTGGTCTGATAATCCCTGCTTCTCCAAAAAGACTTTCTTTTCATAGCCT